CAAGATGAACTACTAATTAAGTTATTATACCCACCTTGCAATTTATTATATTATTAGTTAATTTAGTAGAAAGGTACTAAGAACCTGTTTAGTTTGCTACTACTACTTTCAAATCTATCAGAATTTAGTGGTACTAAACGGTGATAGAATAACAAACTAAACATATGTATGCTAATGTCATTCTATCATCATTTCGCATTTTTGGAAGTTTGTCCTTACGAAAAGGCTAGCAAAATTTAGTGAGGCAATGAATGAAAAGACATCTAGCGATACTAAAATTAAAATTTGATAACCCTAAAATGTGTCAAACTTTGGCATTTCGTGAAAATCCTTCAATGCGAATTTTTTGTGGGAAGTTTGATTTTTTTTTCCTTTGATTGATCATGAGGTGGGCTGGGGCTGAGATGGGCCTTAATTTGCAGTGGATCAGATAGGCACACGGACCAGAATAATCCAAATCGGAGGACTCGTTTCTGAAAGCATTATCCCTCCCACACAAGGAGGAAATATATATATACATCCCCGCAAAAAAAAAAGAAATATATATATATATATATATATATATATATATATATATATATATATATATATATATATATATACAGAAAGAGAAAAAAAAAACTTTGATCTGGAAGGAAGGGAGAGAGAAACCGAAACGAGTCAAACAGAAGAAACAAACAGACACGTAAGGAGGAGAAATTTCCCCTCCCTTCCCTGCTCTTTTCGTACTACTTGCAAGGAGGAGAAAGAAGAACACGAGGAGGAAATCCAAGCCAATCGCCGCCTCCGCCTCCGATTCCTTCCGATGAAGAAGATCTTCGGCGCCAAGAAGAACCAGGAGCCCCCGCCCAGCATCCAGGATGCCACCGATCGGGTTTCTTTCTGTCTTTCTTGTTTCGATTCCATCTTCAATTCTATTCTATTCAATTCATCCACCAAGCAATCGAATGAATCGAATCAAACAAACCCGCAGATCAGCAAGAGGGGCGACTCCGTGGACGACAAGATCAAGAAGCTGGACGCTGAGCTCGCCCGCTACAAGGACCAGATCAAGAAGACCAGGCCAGGCCCCGCCCAGGAGGCCATCAAGGCACGCGCCATGAGGGTCCTCAAGCAGCGCAGAATGTATATCTCCCCTTTTTTTTTTATTTCATCATCATTACTTATCATACTTATATACTCTTAGATTAGATTAGAAGATTGGTTACTCTACTTTTGCCTAATAATAATAATCTCTACTGCAACCCCAACCATCCAACCCTCACCCAAATATCATACATAGACACCAAAGCTGAGCTCTTGCAACCTGCCCTTGTGTTGCCTATCAAATTGTTGCACTGCCTTCTTCCTTGTGGACAACAACAACACATGAATGAAAAATTAAAGAACTCGCCATTGATGACATTATAAACCGTTGCATCTTGTACCAAGTCCCGGTTACGCCAATTTTTACAATTCATCGTCTTACAAGTCATTTGAGATAAAAAGAGGCATAATTTTGACTCTGTAAATTGTTTGTGTCCTTTCATAAGCACAGAGTCTTTTCCTTTCTAAGTGTACTTCATCTTCTTTTTTTGGTTAAGTACCGATGTGGTTCTTCATATATATTTTGAAAGATTTTCCTAAGGGTAGCAGTTATGTTATAAGAAAAAAAGAGACTTCTATTTTATTACTTAGTTAAGGAACCCAATCATCATTTACCATTCACTCTGTATATCTTGTTGAGCTCTTTTGCTTCTCCTTCGAATTACTTACTCTATTACGGTACTGTGCTCATCTGTATACTGTCTTATATATGCTTTCCTGACAGGTACGAAGGGCAGCGTGACATGCTGTACAACCAAACATATAACCTTGACCAAGTTGCTTTTGCATCAGAGGGACTTAAAGATGCTCAGCAAACGGTATATAGCTATAGTATACTCAAGAAGTTTTATTTCCATGATGTTTTACATCCTGATTCCCAAACTTATGATACAAGTGTTTTCATTTGGGCAGATGACTGCAATGAAGGCAGCCAATAAAGAGCTGAAAGGAATGATGAAAACTGTCAAGCTTGAAGATATAGATGTACGCAGCATCTTTTTGTGTAACATATTCGTCATGTTTTCAAGATTTTCTGGCTTGCAATGGATTTTCGTTGTTTCCCTGTTTTCTTCTGTTTCCAATTGCATCTGAATCTAGACCCATGCTTTTCTTATCTGCAGAGCTTGCAAGACGAGATGATGGATCTTATGGATGTGAGCAATGAAATACAGGAAACTCTCGGAAGAAGCTACAATGTCCCTGATGACATTGACGAGGAAGAACTTATGGGGGGTATGGATCTTATTTTTCAGTTTTCTTAGATTATACTGGCACCACAAAAATGTTTGCCTTGAAGTTATGCAGTCAACTTGTTTTTTCTCCCCACAATTCTGTCCATAGTGTAGTCAGGGTTTGCCATAGCTGCTTACTGCCGTCTAATTGAAAATAATTTCCAGTTTCTGATGGTGATCTGGTGGATTTTCTTTTCAACCTAAATTTGTATGCGTGTTGAGGCAGAAAACAGTCTAGATGCTCATGAATTGTTATTTTTTTCTGAATCCATCTCTTTGGTACTTTGCTATTGGTCCTTCACCAGTTCTGTGTTTTGCATGTGTTGACTTACCGAAAGCAAAGAAACAATGCTTGTCTGCTTGATGTCCTGATTCTTTATGTGGAAAATGCAGAGCTTGATGCTTTGGAAGCCGACATGGACTTTGAATCAAATTCAGTCCCCTCGTACCTTCAACCAGATAAGGAATCAGATCTAGATTCTGAGCTTAACTTGCCTGCTGCACCAACGGGTCACACACCCGCCCCACCAAACCGGCAGCAGGTACATGGACTGTGACAATGTTTACTTTCAATAAGACTGCTTAGAAGTTCACTCTAAATAATTTTCTTTATCTTGATGTGAACTATTTGATAGGATGCAGATTTGAAGATCTTTGTACTTGTATTTATTAGATTTGAATTCATTTACTCACTGCAGAATTTGGTACTTCATCCGTTTCATAATGTAAGACTTTCTAGCATTATCCACATTCATATAGATGCAGCATGAATCTATATATATAATAATGTTTAGATTCATTAGCATCTATATGAATGTAGGCAATGTTAGAAAGTCTTACATTGTGAAACGGAGGGAGTAGCTGATAGGATAGTACACCGTGTAACCGAAGTCTGTAGGGGTATAGATTATATTCTACAGTTGGTCGACCTGCCCTTTATAGACCAGATATTCACAACGTGACGGTGATGGGGGGCACATAAAAGGATAATATGAAAACCTTTTCATGCCAAATAGGTCCTTTGGCTTCATTTATAATGAATTCACTCAGAGCTTTGGAAACAAATACCCCATTTAGGCATAGTTAATGGATTCTCTTGTGAACAATAATAATAATTTGAAAGTTGCTTTTATTTGTTGGTGCAGGAGGACGAATTGGGATTGCCGACAGTGCCACAAGCATCGATCCGTAGTTGATTGGATTCGTTTTGTAAAAACATAATGTCGTATGCAATAACAAATTCAGTGTATCTTTGCTCATATACTACTGCAATTTGTTAAGATTGGAAATAGCTTTCTCATTGTTTTGTTTAGGGTCTATATGTAAGAGCATTTGTTACTTTTTGAAGTACAGTGTAAATTTAATTGGCTGCTGGGGCATACATATATAAGTCCTTATTCTGTGTTGGTGATGAGCTGCCCTTGCATCTCGGAACAATGGTTTTGCCTGTTGCAGACCTCTTTCTGTCCATTCACTTGTCGGCATATGTCATCAGACTAATCTGTTTGCTGGCTTGCAGTTCATGAAGGATTGCTGATATCCTGTTCAGTTTGGTTGCTTTACCTGATTCAGATATCTTGTGTATTATTACTACTACTCCCTCCGTTTTATAATGTAAGTCATTTTAGCATTTCTCACATTCATATTGATGTTAATGAATCTAGACAGATATATAGATATATGTCTAGATTCATTAACATCAATATGAATGTGGTAAATGCTAGAATGATTTACATTGTGAAACGGAGTTCACAGAGGGAGTAGTTACTTTTCTCAAGGAAGTCCAGTAGACTAGAGAGATTTGATACTAGTCTGCACTGCTCCAGAATTTGAGCATATATGTATAAGCGATCTATGGAGTGTTGTTGGGCTGATGTATACTGAAGATTGTGGCAAGAAAAGTAAAAGCTTGATTAGTGTGACTGAGTGCATTGTTATTAATGCGTCGAGTGTCTACACCATTTGTCTCAAAATAAGTTCACTTTTAAACATGAATTTGAATATATCTAAATTCATATATATATTATACAAGTGTTTTTTTATAGGATGAAAGGTGTATGCATTACTGGCGACCGGATTAACTTGCAAATGCTTTGCCTTAATTTGAGCTGAATATTGGCTCCAGCTGATGAACTCATTGTGAATGCTATCCCTACTATAGTACCAACCCTAGCAGAAAAGGATTAAACAACATTGAATTCTCAGCCCAAAAGGTGCAGCAGAGCATGCATGGCAACATAGCACTGTAGTCCTATCTACAGCGGCCGTCATACATGTACAGATGTACTGTACATAACATAGCTTGCAGAAAGGAAGTTGCATAGGAGTATGTAGTTAACCTGGTCAAGGCTCAAAACTCAAAAGACAAGCATCCGATCTGAGAATTCTGAAAGGTGCTGGGTCAGCAGCAGCTTTGGGAAAGCAAAATTTTTTTTTGATGAATCTTTCCAAGTCCAATGTTCACTGGCTACAAGCCCAGATATGGCCCTTGCTTCTCCTACCATTTTCATTTTTCATGTGTCCAAATAGGAGTACAAGCAGCAGGTCAGGTCAGATCAGGTTGCCTAATAAAAGATTCCACTTTTCTGTGCATGCACACACACATTTGCTTTTGCATTTGCAAGCTTTGAATGGATCCCAGAGCAGAGATAAAGAGAGATGGTACAGTGTACAAGAGAGGACTGGAGGCAGGAGGCCAAGTCATATCGATCAGGCTGGCAGCATCAAGTACACATTTGCAAGGCATGCATATTGCACACACACACATGCACATTTCTGGAGTATTAAACACATGAAAAGGGAGTAGAGTATCTACAGATGCAACACACAGAAGAGGGGGAGGAACAGCACAGCAGCAGATGAATGAATGAAGCGAAACGCAGGAGGAGCAACAGTACATGTCCTCGTCTTGGTACTGTCTGCATGCAGTCTTGGTGACGGTGAAGGCAGAGATATCGATAGTGTGGATTTTGGAGCCCAGGAGGAGATGGTACAGCTGAGCCAGCAACCAAAGGATCCTTGCGAGATCTTCAGGAGGTTCAACTCTGTCGGCTTGCCCCACTCTTCTTCTTCAGCTTGCTCACTTCACTTCACTTGTTGATTCGGCATCTCCTCCTCTATGTGATGCTGCTTCGTGGCCATTCCTAGTTTGTACAAATGTTACTAGATAGCTGCATTAGTCTGGTAAATGCAACAGTTAACACATCATCAGTCACCATTTGCAAAGAACATAAGCTTTGCTTCTTGCTAATCAATCATGCTTGTATCTCAATTACCAGAATATGCATGGGTTCTACTACTAATGAAAGAAGCAGTGGCTGCTCATCTCGACCTGGTGAAGAGAGCCCTGCTGCTGGCCTTGCTCTCCAACTTGCATCACCACCATGTTAATGTGGCTGCTGCCATCCTGCAATGCAAAGGTGAAGCACAGACAGCGCATGCATGATCAGTGTCACATTGCCTTCCTTATCTGCTACTCCTACTACTCTTGATGAGTGCTTGGTGGAATAATTTGTGTTCAACACAGGAGAAGCGACATCACATCTGATGCAGTCATGCAGATTGGGTTCAGATTCAGAGAGACTATGGTTATCATCTTGACCTGAGCAAAGCCTGTGGGTCCTCCTCCTAGTCCTTGGAGTGAAATGCCTGTACTCCCCATTTGGCCCATGCACTGCACCATCTCATGTGGCATCTTTGCAAGCTTAATCAAACAAGGAAGGTAATACTAAGTACTAAGAGAGTCAGAGATATTGATCGCATGCATGGCAGAAGCAAAACTGGAATCACAGAATTCTTCAGAGATGCTTGCTTGCGTTTGGATTGATGCTGTCATTGTTCCCTATTTTACTTTACCTGTCGAAGAACATCTGGGTGCATATCAATGCCCGGTCCAAACTCATACATCAAAGGGCTAAGGGAGGCAAGCTTCATGGACAGAAACTGAATGAGCACAAAAGAATGAATCAGTTCTTCATATACAGAGCAGAAGAGCCATCGATGATACTACGTGCTCAATTACGCTATTTCAATTCTTATCTGAGTGACATATAGCAGCACCTCAACTTGGTTCTGCAGAGATTGCACATAGCTGATGATCTCATCTAGCATGAGGGCTTTCCCTGTGACCTTGTCACAACCAGGAACCAGGCTTTGCAGCATCTTCATCCTCTCACTGATCTTCTCCCTTCTCACCTATAAGTAACAAATCAACAGATGTTACTACTCCTGTAGTTAAGTGAAGGGCACTAACAAACAGCTGTTACTACTAATTAAGATAACAACGATTCAGATAAGAGAACAAAAGACTGGTGAGTGAGTGACCCTCTCAGCAAGGCTGTGGCTGTCTGTTGCTTGGCCTCTCCTTGCCCTCACATGAATGTACCCAGCTGGTGGCTCCCCACCTGCTGCCTCCTTGGCCTTCTTCTTCACATCATCATCATGTTGATGTAGTACCACCCTTCTTGCCTTTTTCTCCTCAAGTCCCTTCAAGCCCACATTGCTCCTCTTGTGCTTTCTACTCTTGCCCCAACTTGCATCCTAAATGGCAAGACCACATAAGGTAGATCATTACATGAACACAACATAAAATGGGCCCATCATACATATTTGGACACTTACCAAAGGGGTTAACAACTTAAACATCAATGATAATTCTACTTGCATCAGAAAGCAGTCACTGCTACATTTACATATGTATATGCACTTAGTTCCAGGTTTTGGGTAGATTTCCACTTGGTACTAGTAGGACGAAGCCGCATTTTTTTCAGATAAAGATGATCACCAAGCAAATAACTCTTCAATATATCATGCATCATGTGGGAAGAAGCTAAACCTTTGAGGTAAAAAAAAAACATATGTATGCTGAAACACTTTGTGAAAAAAAATATATATATAACTGAATTTTGCAGTTTCATCTAGTTGTATATATACATTTTCATGGCAAAGTGCGAGCAAAGATAGCACATGTAGTAGGAGCTTAATTACCATATCTTGAGTTGAGCCCAATGAACAAGGGCAACTTCCTTGAATGCCAGGCACCCATTTGTTGTCGCCGGCAGCGGCAGCGGCATTGTCAAAGACAAAGGAAAGAGGGCACTCCTGTGGCTGCAGCACTATTGGTGAGTACACCATTGGCATTGAGGTGGGGTCAAGGGAGCTGCAGCTGCTGCTCTCATACTCATAGGCCGCCATGGCTGCTGCTGCCTTCTCTTCAAGGTTGCTGCAGCCGGCAGGGAAGCCTGGGACAGGAAGAGGCTCTGGAGCAGAAAGGAAGCAGTAGGGGAGAAGTGAAGATGAGGAGGATTGGTGCAGCTGCTGCTCATGTTCATGCTCAAGCTGCCCACACAAGCTCTCCATTGGTATGCTGCCTCCTATGTTGATGCTCTATTGCTACTACTCCTAGTAGTATCTCTAGTAACTCCTATGTGCCTAGTATGTGCTATGTGTAAGAAAGAGTTGTTTGCAGTTGAGTTGAGGATTCAGGTCTCTATCTGCTTTTCTTCCTTCTTTAGCCCCCCTAGCTGCTGCTTATATTTACTCCTATGTGACTGATAGTGGGCAGATAGGCTAGAATTCTGTGCAGTTAATTGGGTGGGCCAACTTCCACAAGGCTCCTGCCCCAGCATCATGTTATTTGGAGTAGTAAGCGGTTTGTACTGCATCTGCATCATCTTGTCTTTCCAAGCTTTAGCACACAAATAGGACGATGATTGATTCATACTTACCAGTACTTATCTCTACGGTTGTAAAAACAGAGTCCTCCTTACATCCCCTTGCTCCTCCCCCCAACACACACCTGAGCGCTGCCCCACCGTGAAAAACCAAAAAAAAAAAGCCATTCATACCTCAGTTTAGTTCTAACTCAAAGAATTATAATTTCTTTCCATCAAGGCTCAGATATGCAGAACACAAGATGCACCAGTGTCAATTTTCAATAACATGCATCATGTGGTCCCTTTCCGCAGTACATCGTAGAATAGGATCTGAACTAGCAATTCAGGAGACAGGGAAACATATTACCCTGTGAATTCGCCTCTCAATCCATCATCTGCTCCTTGTACAATTCACCTGCTCCTCAGGGAAAAAAAAGAAACGGCTAAGCTTACCATATCATACACTATTATCTTACCGCTTACAGTAGCAATCAAACAAAATCTCCCCGAGAACATCGCTTGAAGCTAGGTTCAAGCCCTATCCGAATCACAATAGACAACACTCTTACCCTTGACCCATGACGGGAGATGAAATGAGAACCAGGCACAAAAGGTTGAATGTACTAAAATGATTTAAGATGTATCAAATCTACACCTCTGATTTTAAGTCAGTCAGCTCAGGCCTCACCCGAGATGCTCAACTACAGAAGGCCAAAATGACAGATGATGCCTTAGTCTAGTTAATCCCTTAGAGTACATAGGAGAACCTTATAAAACCTGAGAGAGTACATTCTTGTAAAACCAAATACAACAAAAAAAAGGCAACAAAACAGATTTAGCGCCTCTTCTTGCTTCCTTTTGCAGCAGTGGATTTTGACGGGCTTGCAACCAGGTAGATAAACACACCGACAAAGGAAACAACGGAGACCAGCGACCCATATTTCCCCACAAGTCTCTGCAGATGACGTTTGTTAACACATTAGATCACAATGTCTAGCCATATGGTTTTCTTTTCTTATCGCCTATTTCCTACTTAGATAAAACACATAAGTTTACATAAAACAGAGGGCAATGGCAGTACCTTAGCCTGGAAAGGTCAAGTGCAAAAGTTGCATATCCATAAGTTGAGTACCAGCACCAAAAAAGTAAGGCGTTGAGACATAAGAATCAGGAAAGGTTTTACTCTTAATGAAAGCAAATGGTATGAGATAACTAACCAATTCAAACTTCTGTTGGGGAGGTCTCTCAGCAAGAATATCAAGTGGAAACATGGGCGTTGAGTAAGCCTCCTTGAGAAAAATAATTGGCAGTTTAAACTCAAGAAGAGAATAGTGCAGGAATAGTATGGTGAAAATGATAATTAGAACACCAAGTACTAGGGTCGTAATGAGCTATTTAAGCTGAGCAAAGTTAGCCCCTTTCACTATGATCCATGGAATAATGAGATCGATCACACTGCAGTCCTTAGAAAAGGCTCATCCGGTGCTCAATACTAAAGGTATACTCACTCGATTGTGATGGCATGTGAAACAAAGCATCACGAAACGAAAATTCAAGTTTAACTTGTGAAACAAAGCATATGACAAGCATCAAATTGCATGAGTACCTGAAGTGTAAGTATGAAAATTTTGATGTACCTGAAGTGCGGCCTTTGTGGGAACACGGTATGTGATAATGGCAGGAGAGCCCTGAAACTTGCCCTGCACTTTGGTCTCCAAGATGAAGTTGTGGGAAGCAGTAGCACCACTGAAAGCACAAGAGGTAAAAAGGATTGTCAAAGGGCAAATATTGGTGTGAGAAAGCATAAGTAACTAGTAAGTGTTGTTACTAACGGATCAAGTTTTTCCACAATCTTTGATGTGGTTCCAGAGATAAGTTGAAAAGCCTCCTGTGGCCAAGAGTCGTCGTTCAAGCTAACATCATAGGCGGTCCTGTAAAAAATGAGAGAGAGAGAGAGAGAGAGTAGTAAACAACATGATAGAAGAATAGAAGATGAATGGTTGATGGCACTGGCAGTGAAGAATATAGGGCCTGTTTAGATCCCACCCTAAAATTTTACACCCTATCACATCGAACGTTTGAACACCTGTATGAAGTATTAAATATAGGCTAAAAAAATAACCAATTGCACAGATTGCGACTACTTTGCGAGACGAAATCTTTTAAGCCTAATTGCTCTAAGATTTGACAATGTGGTGCTACAGTAAACATATGGTAATGATGGATTAATTAGGCTTAATAAATTCGTCTCGCGGTTTACTGTAATTAGTTTTTTTATTAGTGCCGAACACCCAATGCGACACCCTATATAATACCCGGAAACGCCAAAACTTTACAACCCTGGATGTAAACACCCCCATAATGAGGATTCCGGTTCCCCTTCCCTAAAATAGCAGTGTGGTTAGATAGATGGAGAAATGGATTAGCGATTGATGTGTGTGTATGTGACTATCAATCATGTCATGTCATGTAGGAGTAGTATATATGCACAATAGTAGCGTGATAATTTGTGTTATCAACAAGTGAGTCAGCTTGACATTATTACACAGAGAAAGGGAAACATGGGCTCGCGGCTATCTATCAAGTCTAGCTAACAGTAGGAATTCCCGTTGTTTTTGACCTATGCGAATTAATCAATAAGGAAAGGCGGATAGAGCAATAATAGGTTAACAAAGTGAAGAGAGGGAGAGAGAGATGTGGATCTAAATCTGGGGGAAGAGGGAGATGAGATGGGGAGGGGACTGACGCGGAACCCTGGTTGTAGAGGTTGAGGGTGACGGCGAGGCGCTCCACGCCTGGACCCGGGCGGGACAGCGCAACCTTCTTCTGTGCTACCACGAACGGCGCATCCTGCCCGGCGGCGGCGGCGAAGGGCACGAGGAGGAGGAGGAGGAGGAAGAGGAGAGATCGCCACTGCTGCGCCATCACCGCTCACGGAGATTGCTTTGCTTCTTCCACCTCACCTCGACCGAGGCTATTGTTACATTACATGTGTGTTCAAGCCCATCCCATCTATTACATGGGCCCCCGTGAATACTATGCCCATCAGCCCATTTTACTACCTCCTGCCTCCTATGCGGCCCCCTCCCCTCTCTACCAAAAAAAAAATAATACCACCTCCTATTCTTATTTTTTAGCATTGTCCATATTTATATATGTGTTAATAGATCTAGACATATATGAATGTGAAGTCTTATAACCTAAAACTCAAGAAAAATATTTACTCAGGTCCTAGTTTTAAAAAATACTCAAAATACATATAAGGTTAACAATTAATTTATTCATCTAAGGGTTTAAAAATATGAATTGTTTATGTAGCTTACTTACCCAACATGAAAGTTTATATATAAATTTCAAGTTTTCACTTTTTTAAAAAAAATATTTTTGAGTTTTTTATGAGAGAGAAATTACTTACGCAAAAGATAATTTACATTAGAAATGAGGTATGTTCTCGAAAAAAGTTACATTAAAAACAGCAAAAAAAAAATTCTTGCAGTATATAATGGATAAATAATTTTTTTTAAAAAAATATAAAAATGTAAAATCTTAAAACTAGTGCATAAACTAGCATTTTTTTTCTTCTGAAACTTATGGTAGGATAAATCAAATATTAACCTTATATGGTGTATTTTAGGTATTTTTGAAAATAGTATAGTCCGATGGTATATTGTATAATAATTGATAACTTACCGATATATTATAGAAAGAGACACTGTAAATAAATAAATTTTAAATAGTTGGATTGGGACAAATAGAGTTGATTTAACAGATGCTTTTGGTCCCAAAAATAAAATATAGTACTTCCCCCAATGAAGAAGGTGTGTGTGATTATTGTATTTCCTGTGCACACATATGCAAAAATGCCATCCATTCATCCCAGTGCAATGCCCTATCTACCTATCCAATCCCAATCCACCTGAGCGAGAGAGAGAGAAAGGGTCTCCTCCTCAACATCAACAATGGCGGTCGCAACCTCCTTCGCCACACTCGTAAGCTCACTCATCCATGGCCTCTGCTCTCCTCTTCTTCCCCACCGAGCTCTCAATCTTATTATCGTCGCTCTTTCTTCTCTTGTGTTTGCACTGCAGGCCATCGCGCGGCCGGCGGCGGAGCGGGCCCTCCTCGCCTCCAAAACCCCCTCGCCGCTCCTCTCCATCCGCACCGGCACCGGCACCGCACGCCTCCCCTCATCGGCCGTCTTTGGAGGTTTCACTCCTGCGCTTTCCGCTGCTCACAGCCGCGCGCGCTTCGTCTCCTCCGCCACCGCTGACCCCAAGGTACTGTGTCCCCGGATCTTCTTCTTTTATCTGCCCTACATATATCTTTCTATTGCCGCACCGCATCCATTCTTGTAATCCTGTCTAGTAGTATATCAGTCAAATTTACTACTCCACCTTACTGGACTATTATTATGCAATCAGCCTCCGCAATACCGGCCCCTGTTTGTTGCCTCTTTGGAGGAAGAGATATTGGGTTAGCACAGATGACCTCGACCTTCCAACACCATTAAATTAAAACTAATACTAGTAATGCCTTTGTATGTCAAATTTTGTTATCAGATTTTTAAATCACCAGGTGAAATTTATGCTACCAAAATTGCAGTTTCAGGCTTATCATCACCAATGCTTTATTATGTATTCACCTGCTCTGATTAATAATTTTAGTTGCCTCGACCATAGGGTTCTGCTACTTACAGGTCTTACCTTGTATGTGCACCGAATGTAAACACGTTATTCATCATCAGTGACTGCCTGCAACATTGTGAGGAAACACGTGTGCCCTTCTGTACTACTGAAAGCTGGGTTTTCCTTTCCCATGTGCACTATGCGCTTTCATGTTTTCCTCCACTAGATGTTAACTTACGATATACTACCTCCTTCCTTTAATATATGACGTTGGTTAGTTCAATTAACATCATACATAAAAGAACAGCGCAAGTATCGATTATTCTTACCCTATGTGGGAGAACTGGATACCACGCTTCAAATTTATTCTTTCAGTTTTGCTAAACTTCTCCCATACATTGCAGGAAGTGGACCTCCAGTCCAAAATCACAAACAAGGTGTACTTTGACATAAGCATCGGAAACCCTGTTGGGAAGAACGTTGGGAGGGTCGTTATTGGCCTATACGGGGATGATGTTCCCCAGACCGCAGAGAACTTCCGTGCTCTTTGCACTGGTACAAAGGGCTTCTTGCTTTTCTTCTCTTCTGTCATCTACTACTTTACAGGATTACCCAGATTTGGTGCATGATACACATACCATTGCCCTTTTCCTTTTCAGGAGAAAAAGGGTTTGGTTACAAGGGGTCCAGTTTCCACCGTGTCATTAAGGACTTCATGATTCAGGGAGGAGACTTTGACAAGGGCAACGTATGTCTTCATTATTTACTTTCTTTATAATCTACTCCTATGTTGCACTTGTTCCTCTGTTTCATCTGACAAACTCTATTGGAAAAAGTCACATAGTGTAACATTACTCACAACACTGAATGAGCTCATGTGTTTGTTTCTATCTATCACCATTGAGCCAACTATTTCTCCAAAAAAAAAAAAGTTTGATTTGTTTTATCAATGTTAGCGCTTTATGCTGTTTTGGATAGAAAGCTGACCTATATATGTGTTTTGGATCATTATACAACTTTGTGTTATGCACTTCAGTGCTTGCCCTATGGTGTTTTAGATCATTATACTGCTTTGCATCATGTACATTATGAGTATGAATTGGTAGTTTGTGATCAGCATAATGTGTATGCAGTGATTATTGACTTCATGGCTAGATTACAAGGAGATTAGCACCAAATCCTTTTTCTTTAAATTGATGGCCTAAATTAAATCATGCAGCTGCCTGGTTTCATGAATTATGAATTTTTGACCTAGCCTACATCAAATCATTCAGCTTTCAACTTCTGCATGTGGATAAAGTAGGTTTCAAAAAATGAATATTTCAGGGTACTGGAGGGAAAAGCATATATGGCCGGACCTTCAAAGACGAGAACTTCAAATGTACGTCTGACAAATGACCTAATCTGATCGTTCTTTCTGCTTCTTATCTTGTGGTTGTGCTGATTATATGTCTTGTAATGTTTGTAGTGGTTCATACTGGACCTGGAGTGGTCAGCATGGCCAATGCTGGGCCAAACACCAATGGCAGCCAGTTCTTCATCTGCACTGTCAAGGTAACACTGTACTGATATGTTCACTGTGTACTAGTGTCGAAACTCACTCAAAATTACATTGCGCTGACTGCTACCTGCGAATGCAGACACCTTGGTTGGATGGGAGGCACGTCGTGTTTGGGCAGGTTATTGAAGGCATGGACATCGTTAAGATGATCGAATCGCAGGAGACTGACAGAGGGGACCGCCCGAAGAAGAAGGTGGTCATCAGTGAGTGTGGGGAGCTTCCAGTGGTCTAATAGGTGCCAGAGGGCTAATCTTCTTCCCCCGGAGACTTTGCTGTTTTTGGTTTCATAGTAAGCTGTGAACTTATCGCATGTTCTCCGCGCAGTCAGAGATCATGCTGAGTTGAGGCCAAGATTTCTAAGTTGAGAAGAATCCTCTATTGTTCGGCTGGAATAAAACGTTCTTACCTGTCGAGGGTCAGGAAATAATGTTGTGGTTCATGAAAGATCAAATGTCTGTCTTTTCGTGCATACGCAGACTAAAGTTACTCCTTTCCCAATACCTTTTGTTGCTGCATACTCTCTCTGTCCTAAAAAAAACAAACCCTGGTTTCCGTGCTCAAAGTTTGACCGTCCGTCTTATTTGAAAAAATTATGAAAAAAATTAAAAAGACAAGTCACGCATAAAATATTAATCATGTTTTATCATCTAACAACAATGAAAATACAAATTATAAAAAAAAATCATATAAGACGGACAGTCAAAGTTGGACACGGAAACTCAGGGTTTGCCTTTTTTTTTTTTGGGACGGAGGGAGTATTTACTAAGGCCCTGTTTACATCTCACCCTAAAATTCATCCTATCACATCAAACGTTTGAACACAAACATGAAGTATTAAATATATGTTAAAAAATAGCTAATTGCACAGATTGCGACTAATTGCTCTATGATTTGACAATGTGGTGCTATAGTAAACATTTGCTAATGATGGATTAAATAAGCTTAATAATTCGTCTCGTGGTTTATTGATGGATTCTGTAATTAGTTTTTTTATTAGTGTCCAAACACCCCATGCGACATCCTATATAATTCCTGATGTGACACGTAAAACTTTACCCCTCAGTTGCTCTTTGTACATCCTCTGGTTTTGGCCTTATACTGGGCACTGCACTAGGTAGAAAGAACTAGCTGATGCTACCTAAGTACTACATTGCAGGCTTGCAGCTGATGAGGAAATAACCGATGAATTTGGTGGTGTTTGAATCTCCTAAAGATTAAAGATTAAGTGTTTCACGTAAAATGAGAGGATAATAACGTGTGATTAATTAAGTTTTAATTATTATAAACTTAAAAATGGATTAATCTGATATTTTAGAACAATTTTCATATAAAAAGTTTTCGCACGAATCACACCGTTTAGCAGTTTGAAAAGCATGCCACTTTAATCCAAAATTTAATCCACCGTTTTCAGGACATTCGAACGGGGCTGTTGCTAGTGTTGCTGTGACTTGACTTGCAACAACACAGCTTAATCTGGGTTAATAATACTACAATTTTTAATCAGGAAACTGGGCTATAATAATTACTAGTAAAAAAAATAGGGGAGTTTATATCCAATCTTTTTCTTATATGCAATTCAAGTGATGGGACTATAGGCAGCAAGTACTAGTGTAGTATAGTAAACATTATGGTGGGTAGATATATATATCTCCACCGCACATTCCTCATCGAGTGGACCTTGTGGTCAGCTGCATATCCATACTTGTATGTAGAGAAGAATGTAATACTGCTCCAGTAGGCAGCATCCTCTCCTCTCCTATATCATCATCATATCCAATCCTTGGTTGGTTGGTTCGTTCACAAGGAGGAAAGCCTCGAGCATCATCATCAGTAGGAAGAAGAAGAAGAAGAAGAAGAAGAAGAGCAACAGGAAGAAGCAAGCAAGAAGAGGAAGAAGAAGAAAGCAAGGAGAAGAAGATGCAGGACTGGGGTCCGGTGCTGATATCTTGGGTGCTGTTCATCCTGCTGTCGCCGGGGCTTCTGTTCCAGATACCAGGCAAGTGCAGGTTGATCGAGTTCGGCAAGTTCCAGACCAGCGTCGTCTCCATCCTCGTCCACACCATCCTCTTCTTCGCCCTCGACGCCATCTTCCTCGTCGCCATCGGCGTCCAGATCAACCTTGGCTCCTCTCCCTGATTCTCTCTCTTTGTTTCTTCTAGGTAATCTCAATTGCATATGTATAGCAGTATATATGCACCTCCATCCATCATCTCTACTCACCTTAGCTCGTTAATTTGTACTACTATTTGTGTGTTCCTTCCAATTCTTGGCATAATATTGTGACTCAAAGGAATTGATTTCAGAGTTACTCATTACTTAGTTTCTTCCTCCACATATATATGTAGCAAAATCAAAAGTGCACCATTCATAGCATTTCAAGTAAATTACAACTAGCAAATTTCCCACGCAAAATTAGGCGAAGCCAATTTTTTTCTTTTTCTTTTTAGTAAGAGCTGGATTTGGCATACACATATATTTTGTTTCCATAGATATTTGTATTTTGTATACAATAGATCTTTGAAAGTAGAATTACATTTGATATACAACCACTAGCTTCTATGTCTATACGTCCAATTGTATTTTGCGTACAATAGATTTTTAAGAATATGTTTTAGATTTCATACACAACTCTTACCTTGTTTTTCAATAGATACAATTATATTTTGTATAAAACTGTGTCAATTAATCTACATCAACACAATATAATTGTTAATGTGGTAGTTTGTAAACCTCAAGAGTTATCTCGTACTATAATAGGGAGATACTAATAACATATAGTCAGCAGAGGCAGTTTAATTAATTGCTGCAAGTGCAACCAAAACCATTGGGAGTGCAGGGCAGCATCAGTACAGTAGCAGCAGGGTCCCAAGGAGGAAGAATTTTGGTGGCATTTTGCGTGGCACAATGGTAATGGAAAGCATGAAGTAGTTGCCCCATCGCCATTCACAGCGACTGCCCTGGACCTGGACCTGGAACTGGATGGATGTCAAATTAAGTTGAGCTACAAAACAAAAGCTACACATTATGTGCACAGTACAACCGACTGACCATCCATATATCCATCCTATTCTATTCCTGCAACCAAGCTTCAGGATATATCACACATCTATAGAGTGTAGTATTTCACAATCTATATTGAACAAATCTCCAAGAATTTTATCCGTGTGGTGTGGTGTGGTGTGGCGTTGCTAGCTCCACCCGGAACTGAATTAAATTTGGTATCTGCCTAGCATAATAATGATTAAATAACCAGAAAGGTACTGGCAGCATAACGTAGCATCTGAACAAACTGAACTCAGCTGCTCGGTCCATCTTAATCAGAGTTTCAGCTGAAGAAAGTTAATCGATTTGTTAATCATGTTGTTAGATTCTAACCAAAAACTAAATGCTCAAGCCTGCTACTGCCAGCCGCTTTGCTTGACCTCTGCAGTATGCTTACGCGGATTACAGTTAAGAGGGAAAACAACAGGTTGGAGAAACGTAAGTGAATTAGGCAGGCGATCGATCCAGACGAAAGGTGGCCTGAGATTAGCACACTGACACGACATCTCGGCTGATTGCATGCGTCACTGAGCTGCACATTTTCCATCCTGATATCGATAATGAATGTACTACTGTTGTCTCTACTCATCTCACAAATGCAGTTGGATTATATCATCTCTTAAATTAATGGTTAGTTGGAGAGGCTGATGGAGATATATATCTTCTTGTGCAAGCAGCCTAGGCACCAAAAAAAGATTCCTTGCTTTACTCTCATCAATTCATCTATCTGATGATTTGGTTTAAGAACTGGCTTAATAATTTTCATCTTAATTTCCAGAGCAAAGGTTAAGTAGTTATGATTTCATTCAGATGAAGCAACACAGACCCGTCGATCACCACGAATGCGTCATAAAAGGGGGGGATTAATGAAATGGAACACACCATATATATATATATATATATATATATATATATATATATATATATATATATATATATAAAGGACAAAAATATATGGATGATGAATACTATGTTTTGCACTGGTATGAAAATGTCCATGCATTATTGATTGAGGTACTGCTTTTGAATGGCAGCAGCATATCCAGGTCACTCCATCGATTGTATTTGGTCATCTCCTCCTCCTGGACCAGCTACAACTTAACTTGATAGCTCAATCCATATGTTCCAGACATACTTGTGGCTTTTGGTTTCGTATCCGACCTTGATCGGCTTCTTTTTCTTTTTCAACGCACAAAAGTAAAGAAAAGAAAAAAAAATTTGTTTGATCTGTATATCCTGTTGCGCTGCAATTTTGGTCCGGCCATAGAAAGAAAAGGCTGAAAGCGAGACATGAAACACAAGCACTTACTAGAGCCACAAGCTTGAGATTGGTTGTAATAGTTCCCTCTATCTAATCCGTCCAAGCATCAAAAAGGGAGGAGCTCCTGCTGCTGCAGCTAGCTAGATAGCACCATCGAACAGTCTGTGCTCCTCTCTATTACTAGCAACTAATTAGCACACGCAATTACTACGCAATTAGCAGTAGTGCTCTCTTCAAATGCGTTTGAGCTTGTTCAGAAAGGAAAAGAAGATCGAGTGTCATTAGGTGAGCACTAGCTGAGTCAGGCTCAGGCATGCAAGAAGCATTTAATTTTTTACTAGTTTAGTTTGCTAGTTGAGCTCAGCATGAAATTATATATATTCATTCATTGTGTGTCCGTTATCAATAAATGTAAAAATAAATAAATAAAGACGAGCGATGGTACTGCTGCCTATTGTGACAGGAGTATATATGCTATATAGACAGGAGTCCGTCCTTAATTCCGGGTAATCAGCAAAATGATGACTTTGACGACCAAAGTAATCGCTGCAAGTGCAGGATGAAATCAATCAACGAGATATATAAGCAGATAATACATACACATATAGTAATAATACTATAGATTAATAGATGGGATGTGAATAGAGAAGTAGTATAGTAAGTAACAGCAGTAGATGGTTGCTGCGAGTATTATGTGGAGAAAGAGGAAACGGTAGCAATGAGTCGCAAGCAGCATGTGCAACAGAAAGCGAAGCCGCACCAACCGCATACAACCGGTACAGAAAGAAATATGGAATGGCAATGAAAGCATGATCAACAAGTGCAGTTGCAGTTGCAGTGTAGAGCAGGCACCGGTCGAATTCGAGCCTAATAACCTGCGCTTCTCTTCTCTTCTCTGCTGTGCTTTCCATCCATCCACTCCCACGAACCGCACCTCACCTTCTTTCTCTTTCATTCTCTCTGTACTGTACGTACGTTGCCAATACTAGTACAGTGAGTGAGTCATTTGCATCTGCATACCCTACCTTACCTGCTCCTACTACTGCTCGCCTCGCTTACTTACTACCCTCCTGCTCCTAACAACAACAACAACAACAACAACAACAACAAGGAAGCTCTATCGGGAAAGAAATAGGAGGAAGAAGGATTAAGGAAGGAAAGCAAAGCAAGCATTAATTAAAGGAAATTAGGAAGGATGTCAGACTGGGGGCCGGTGGTGATCGCGGTGGTGCTGTTCGTGCTGCTCTCGCCGGGGCTGCTCATCCAGCTCCCCGGGAGGCACCACTTCGTCGAGTTCGGCAACCTGCACACCAGCGCCATGTCCATCGTCGTCCACTCCATCATCTACTTCGCCCTCATCACCCTCTTTGTCATCGTCATCGGAGTACACATCACCACCGATTAATTTTTACTTCTTCTTTAGTTTCTTCATTTCTGCAGTTCGTCTGCCCTGCCCTCTGTAATCTCTATCTTCTTCTTTCTTGCTCATCCTGTCTTCTCCCCTCCTCCATATATATCCTACCTCATATTAATTCTACTATCTACATGGTGCTTCCTTGATGTTCAGCACATCAAACCATGCATAAACCAAGACTGTTTTAAATTATTACTGTTTTCTACTAGTATTATATATGCATGGGCAGTTGGCACTGCTATCAAATTCAGATCTCATAGCTAGCTTAATTGAGCAGTTTGGCACATATATTCTCCCAAATTTTCAGCCTCTACTCTTATTACTCATGTTATTATTATCATCTCCTGTATAAATGTAATCATTGGATGGCCTGTTCTCGATCTGATTCAATTAGCTAGTTGTACAGTTTAAAGGCGTGTGCTCAGAATCATCCATGAAATGGATCAACGCGATCAGTATTCGGTGGTGTAAGTGTAAAAATATATGCATGTATGTATGTATGTATGTATGTATGTATGTATGTATGTATGTATGTATGTATGTATGTATGACAGGCAAACAAATTAACACAGGCGTTGCAACAACATTTAGTTATAATAATGGATAACCACATCAAGCATAAAGTCGTTGAAGCGTAGAATCAGAGAGTCCATCAGGACAGGGAAATTGCAAGGCGCCAGTGCCATCAACTTTACGTTGACACTGCAAGTGCTAATGCGTAGTACGTCTCTCATCACTGCTCATGATCCATCCATCCATCCAACCACTCCATCTGCGTGTGTGTATATGTGTACTACTCTACTTTATACGCTACCTGTTTGTACTCCCAGCTGAACTGAAGTTTTATACCATTCTGTTTTCCCAACTGAAGCTTCAAGCTGAGGTTTTGTACATATGCAATGCACCACAGGCTTTACCTAGAGGATGAAGCTGACAAGCACAACAAGTAACTAATCTCTTGACAGATACCATACTATCAGATAGATTCCTGTTACCACTCATAGATTGATTGATCGAATTTTCGCACGGGGCCTTGTCTGGTCAGGAACGTTTACCGGCCATCATCTTAAGATGATAAGAGCAAGCGAAATGCTAGTCAGCCTCACTCACACCTTTGCCTGCCTTTTGGTTCCCTGCCCTTTCATCTGAAACGTCACGGATGAAAGCTGAATTATTTAATGGAGAGCGTTTATGCAACATCTCTTTCTTGCCTTCTTTTTTCCTCCATTTCTTTATACCCTTCGCTTTCTGATATTCAATACATTTGACCGTATATACGGGCATCACGACAGCCGCAGATATTTCACTTAAAAAGACCTTCACAAGTGTAAAATGGAGTATACATTACTTAAACATTAGCTGCAAACAGCACATGCACTAGCTTTCCATCTTGTACCTAGTTGATCAAGCTGAAAAAAATATTGGGCTTGCTTTTGTACTCCGTAGCTATTACACGCAGTGGATTATTTTTAGCAGCAACATAGACAGTATTATAGCAAAAAAGAAATCCAAGTTCCAACTCCTACACAGATGGAATCCATCTCTTAGGTCTCCATAATTACCTACCATTTCACAAGCAAAAACACTATTCTAGATTGTAAGCCAGGCAAATTAAGGTACTCCATCCAGGTGATTCTGATTTCTGAAAGACTAACATCTTAAACATCCATGAATGCTTAAGACTGACTGTAATAGTGCATTATGATATCAGATATCTACTTCTGAAACTACTACACCATAAAGTTCTTCGACATCTTATCTTTACACCAAGACATCTTGTTGGAGAAGCCAACAATGCAGTACTAAACAGTTACTAATGCATGCTCGCCTTGCTCGGTTACCAGTAAGAAAAAAAATGCTCAATCCCACAAGATGACTATCAATGGTTGGGTTTTAATCAGGGATTGATACCACAAGAAGAACCATGCTGCAGTAGCATAGCTAAACCACAACAGAAACCAGGGAGTAAAAAGCAGACGAGTAATAAGGGTTTTGCAAAACGCAAATGGCAACAGCATAGATTATGTATGGATAACGCTTTCACTCATGATACCAATCAGAGAAAAACACCCAGAATTCATGTTTCATTTTTACCCAATATTTGCAATACAGAATCCCTAAACTCAAGGATCTGTAGCTTCCTCACCTAGCCTGGTGCGATGCCATTAGAATTGTAGAAATATGTCTTAGGTCTCATCAAAATTCCAGGTTATTAAATCATCACAGCAAAGCAAAATCGTATATCAGTTCTTTCCTCATCACAAATCTTCCAGGGCTACTGAGCAACTTTTGTGTTGCCCCTTTGCCTCGCCAGGCGAACACATGCTTCAAATCTCTTGACTGCCTCAGCACACTTGAGTGGGTCCTGTGCATTGCTCACGTAACACTGGCGGCAGTTTGACCTCTCCTCAGTGCATGGCGTGGGGTTTTGGTACGGCAGCTTGAACTCCTTGTCACGCAGGTCTTTTGATTTCTTGATGAGTTCATCACGCATCCCAGCATGCTGCTTATCCAGCTTCTCCTGAACCTTTTCGCTCTCTTCCAGAACGGCACGGATGGCTTCCAGCTCTGAAAAAGCAGGTGGGGGTGGTGGAGGAGCAGGGGTTACGGGGAGATACATGGGAGGCTGCAGTGGCCAGCCAGGAGGAGCCTTGGGTTCAGAAGCTGGGAGTTCCCTTGAGTTGTCCTGGGGCTCTTGTTGATGTTGTTTGACAGTCTTCTTAGGCTTGGGTTTCCTGGTTTTCTTTTTGATCTTCTCGTCATCACGAGCAAGCTGGTCGATTAGCTTGGTGCTAATCTGGATGGTGTAGTCACCCATAACAGAAAGTTACAAACAGACGCTGCAATAGAAGTAACCAAAAGGAAACCAGGTTGAGGCATCAGCATGAAGTTTACTTAAGTAGTAACACAATGCAGCAAGCACATACACAGGAGGTATTGAAATGCAGTCGTAAAAAGCGCATGTTCATCATATATGTTAGCATAATACAATGAAGCACATTGTGCTGGTTGTATGTGAAGGAAGATGAGAAACATTTATACAGCTTGGTTGATACTGACAGAGAGTATGGAGCATAGAAGAAGAAGCTGTAAACTAGGCATGACTGTGTGCCAAGTTAAATCAGAGCAAACAGTGTAGTGGCATTTATCTTGATTTTTTTTATTTTAAAAGGAGGAGTCATCCCCTAATTCAAGATCATCTATCTTTGTTTCTTCGGCTGCCAGATCTGCCTAGACAATTGGCTATTAGGAGGATTCTTTGCATAAAAAGTGCATGTGCAGGAAGGTGGGCGAGAGATCAATTACCGGATTCGCGGCAACACCGCGATTCCGATGGCAAATCCTAACGTCCTAAAAAGTAGGTAATTGAAGGGATAGTTGGCGAGGGGATCGAGCGGATGCTTACCTGAGCGGTCGAGGTCGATGGGGCGACGCAGGAGAAAGAGGAACGGCGCCAGAGGAGGAGAGCGAGCGCGAGCTGCGGCGGCGGCGGCGACGACGGCGATGGCCCGTCGCCCTAGTTCGTCGCGGTTGGGGTTGGGGAGACGAACAGCTTTTCCTCTTCCTCTGCCCTGTCTCTGTGTCGGGCTTTCTACTTACTATTATTGGGCTTTTTTCTTCTTTGGGCCATTGCGTCTCTCTCTCTCTCTCTCTCTCTCTCTCTCTCTCTCTCTCTCTCTCTCTATATATATATATATATATATATATATATATATATATATATATATATATATATATATATATATATATATATATATATATATATATAGACTGAGACCTTTTCTTTTCTTCCTCCCAACATTTTTTTTTCTTCCTTCCAACATCTTTGTTATGGAGTTTTTTTTTCTCTAAAAACATTTCCCCCCCCCCAACCTTATCGTCGTCATAGTACTGTGTATTCACTCATGATATTTTCTTTGATTAATGCCATGCGTGATGCCATCAATTCCATTGTCTCTTGACATGCCAAGAGTTCAGAGGGACGCGGGAGCTCCTTAGGTAATCAATCATCCTATGATGAGGAAGATATGAATTTCTCAATACCGTAGATTAAAGAAATGCTGAAGAACATGGGTACAGTTTAGCCACTCGAATCTAGAACCAGCCACGACACAAACAGAATTCAATCTGATAGTAATTGATACTAATATAATAAATTTGTAGCAACATCAAAAGAGGTGTTCAGATTTCAGCTGCTCCGTTTCTTGGCCAAGCCAAACTAATACTAATCTAGTGGTACAGATTCAGTGATTCCTCCTTGTATAGGTCTAAGCCATTCCAAAAACACATCACGTTGATGCATCTGCCTTTTGCTTCTTGTCCGTCCCATGGAATTTCCTCCCGGCTTCAACCGCCTCCCTGTCAATCAGTTTAAGTAATCAACTTCACTTGTCGCATGGAATAACAAACACATACACACATGAGTTCCAAACCAATCATAACGACACCCTATATATGTCTATGTTAATTGCTAAACAACGGAGGAATTCATTGCTTTTCTTTGCTCACAGAGGAAGGCTTTACTACCTGAACGCGCTCACAAGCTCGCCGTTCTCTGGCTCAAGCTGCACCCCCTCATAGAAGGCATTCGCGGCTTCTTCGAACCTCTGTTGGTATCACCGGAACAACTTCAGCAACAAATATATAGGTAGGTAATCACAACTGCCTATCAGTTCCCAAACTTATCACTGAAATCAACAGACCTGCAGCAGGCGCAGTGCCGCGCCTTCCCTGTAGCAAGCTTTCGCCCAGTCTGGCCTCAGCGCTCGACATGCTCTTGCATCCTCCAGAGCACGTTCAGCTTGCCCTGCCCGTAGCCAGCAAAGGCTTCTGTTTGAATGCAACGTGGCGTCGTTTGGATTTAACTCAATAGCCTGAAATGTAGTTCCATTCCATTCTACTCTTTGAATTTGAGTTCATATGATAAACTTATGCGCCTTTTCTAAAAATACACGCTGTCTTGCGGTTTGGTTCTTACCTGTGTGTAGGCATCTACTGCTACTAGGTAGTCTTTATTTCTGAAGGCATCATCACCTCTCGATTTTGCCTCCAATGATCTCTCTTTTGCCTCAGATGACACCTGTACAGTGTCAGGAAAGCACCATTTGCAGCAATAGTTAGATCTTGAGTCTTACAGTTATTAAATAGTTGGAGCCTTGAAGATGAATAAAACTATAAAGTAAATTGCAATGCACCTCAACAAGTTGTGGTACTTGTAATCTGTCTGCTTTCTGAGTTGTAGCTTCCTTTACCTGTGCCTGCAAAATTTATTCAACCATTGGGATCGACAAAGAACTTGCAACTAGTAATAGATCATGAGAAGATTGAAGTTGCACCTTTTCCTCGACTGATTTAGTGTATTCTATAATTCCATCAATACTCCAACTCGAAACACCTGGAATTGGTGATGTCAAAGGTAAAAGAAGTTCCACAACTTCACGGTTATTCCTCAAAGCAGCAACCTGTATTGGCTTTAGTCCATCCTGTAGAAGAATATAATAGTTATTCAACCATTAGCATTACTTAGCTCTACTGCTACACCAAAATCAACAGTCATGTCCTTCAGTGAAATTATGCAGCCCAGTGCTGTTTGCTCAATAATAATGCAAGAAAGGACAGATGATGGAATTGCAAAAGCAGTTGCCAATCCAGCTAAACAATACACTACAGGGTTACAATAGTTATTCACTGCATAATGAAACGGTGGAAATTTTCAGAGTAACACATGCTGACCAAGAAAGGGATATTCATTATCATACATGGTGTGGAACAAACAGCAAACGCTTGACACCCTCTTACGAATCATTTTGACCAATCAATGCACATGAACCTGGCTATTGACATTTAAATATTTAATGATACACTGGAATTCTGATTAATGTACAACTTACATCATCACATGCATTGGGGTCACTTCCAGCTTTAAGTAAACAATTTATTATTTCCATGTTTCCACCATCTGCAGCAATATGTAATGGGGTTGCTCCACCAGCTCTGATATTCGGATGTGCACCTGCCTGTGTAGCAGATTATATGATCGGTTTTTTATACGAATCATAGATGTAAGGGGTGTAGAAGCAACAGAGCATCAAACAAAACCAAGAACAGAAACAGCATATGACAAAAGTAAGAACAGACACTTTGATCCTCTTATCAAAATCTTTTGATATAGGTAGCACACATATAAGAACGTGACATACTATGATTTGCCATGCAGCAATCTAATCAATAACACGAAAAATGAGCTTGTCTGAACCCCCATTGCACAAGCCAGATTACTAAACAAGGAAATATAGCATACAGAAACCATATGACCAATGAATGGCATCGAAGTGGATAATATCCTAAAGTAAAAGCAACAGATTTTGGTATTTTACTCTTGAAATTAGATTTGTGTACCTGAATTAGAATATCCAAGCATGGGAGGGAACCCGCTGCAACAGCAGACAACAAAGGCGTAATACCATCATCGTTTTCAGTATTTGGCTGCCAAGCAATAACTAGCTTCAGTAAAAAAGTTAAGGAAAGGCCACATGAACGGCTGATTGAAAGGTGGTTGAGTGCTAAACAAAGAGAAGCCTGTCCAATTCAAAGAAACATAATAGATACAGATGCTATTAGAACCAAAAGATAGCATCTTCTTAACAATAGCAAGCTTGAGAACCCTTGGTGGTTACTGTTAAAGTGTCAGTTGCTACTAGTATTTGACAATATTAAAAGGCGACATATTAAAATTTCAGCATAATGAAGATTTCTGAACAGAATGACTAGAAGCTCAGGTTCGTTAAATCAGTGAGATATGAAGTGAGATAGGAGATAGTGGATTTATTGAGGAGCAACCTTAGCATCGTGTTGAAGCAAAAGTTTGACTGCCTCTTGCTGTCCATGACCAGCAGCCCATATGAGGGGTGTGCCGGCATCGCTTTCTGATTCAACATCAACCCCCTTGGAGAGAAATAGTTTCATAAGGTCCAGGTTCCCTGCAGATGCAAACAAAAAAAAAAGGAGAGTGGTGTTGGACGCATTTATAGAGGCGTTGGCACAATCAAAATGGGAGAAAAAAGAAAAGAGTATAGACCATCAATCCATGGAAAGAATGAAGTGAAATGGCAAATAGATGATGAATTTTACCTATGCCGGCAGCATGGTGCAATGGCGTGGCTCCGAGGGAAGAAGCAACGGAAGGATCTGCTCCATGGTGAAGCAGATAGGTTACAGTTTGGAGATGGGCTTGGCGCGTAGCATGGATGAGTGGAGTTTCACCTGGTGGAGTGGATGTAAACTGATGGATGAGAGATTGTGAAGAAATCAGATGAGAGTAAGAGATAGTGATAGTTAGTAGTACCATCGTCGTCCTTGGGGTCGACGGGGAGGGCGAGGTCGGAGATGAGGAAGTGACAGACGTGGGTGCGGCCCTCGCGGGCGGCGAAGTGCAGGGCGGTGCGCTTGTTGGCGTCCTTGACGGCAGCAGCGACGGCGGCGACGCCCTTGCCCTCCTCGTCGAGCGCCGCAGCGAGCTCTGCAATGGCGCATGAGGAGAGGAGATGAGAAGAAACGCAAGGAAAGCAAAGGAGAGAGAGAGGAAGGCATGGGGGCACCTACTCTTGAGGGAGTCGAGATCACCGGCACGAGCCGCTTCGAGGAAAGCTTGCACCTTGCTCCGAGCTGCAGCCAATGAATTCGAAGCGACCTCAGACCTCAGACCTCAGTACTAGTACTAGGTCAACAGTTGAGTTGGAAGATGGTACTGTACCTGAGAGGGCGGCGGTGGCGTCGGCCATGGATGATGGAAGGGAGCTACCCGACCCGAGCAGGGGGGAATTGAAGCCGGAAGGGTGTTCCAGAAGCTTCTGGAGACGAGACGGGAGGTGGAGGTGGCGGCGTCGAGTCTCGAGTAGGAGGAGGAGGAGGAAGCCTCCCGTCCCGTCGCCTAGACTCTCCTCTTAGGGCTTGGGCCCATATAAACACGGCCCATATCTTCGGCTTTCTTTTTCTTCCTTCTCTTTCTCATCAAATCATATCAGGCGGCTGCTGTTTTGTAAGTTTGTTTTCTTTCATATTTTTTTCCTGTTATAAGATCTCTACTGGAGTACCAAATATCAGCATGTCACATACAAGATACAGTAGCACATCTTAACAGACATACCAAACGAATCATATACTGTATATCATACGAGATACAGTAGCGGGATCTTAACAGAAATTCCAAGCAAATCATATATCATATGACATATATACAGTAACAGAAGTCTGAAACGAATCATGGCCCTAAGCTGGATGAAATATCGGCATATGTCATACAAGATACTAGTAACAAAGGCAACCAACCAGTTGACTCGTCTTCATAAAATTAATTAACCAAGTACTAGTACTCTTGGCATTTTAAGTTAAAAATCTCGACATCAAAGACCAAGGTGTTGCCCTGGATGATGCATTCATGGCTATAGATAGATAGATACATAGGTGCACATGTTTTCCTCTCTTTTTTCTACAAAAATTTGGCCTCCTCAAGAACAAACGAGCCCAGCCCCGCACGTATATGTGTTGTTCCATCACATCACTGCTACTGTTATCTCTTCTCTCCTACTGTACAACCTAAAACTACAAGCAAAGCAATGGAGAGCTCCTGGCAGCACCATCTTTTAACTTAAATAAAAACACCTCATCAACTAACTCGTCGAACTTGCAAGAAACCCAAGTCCAGGAAGCCTCAGCCCACCAAATCTGCCCGTGCTTGTGTTTGTTCCTGTGCTTGTGTTCCTTCCTGTGCTTGCTCCAGTTGAGGATGAGGCTCCATTTGAAGATTCAGGAGATCCTTCCCTCATAGACGACGTTCTGGTCACAACACTCCGCTGCTGCTGCAAACGCCCTAATCCTTCCCTACTAGATGATGCTTTGCTCACAAAACCCCACTGTTCCTCCTGCAAAAGTCCAGCAATAGCTCGTTTCAATCATGGAAAGCGCAAGAGGAAACTGAAATTGCATGCAACAAAGTGCAACATCAAACTGAAACCACACCTGTGGCACCTCTGCCCTAGGTGATGGTTCAGCTGCAGGTGCGGTTGTCGGCAGAGCTGGAAGAGCAGTAGATTGAGGCAACGAAGAAACCTGCAACCAGAAACACATGAACCCAAGTCAACAAACTGGGGCATGTTCCGACCATGACAAAGCTGGGAAAAGTGCAAGCCTTTACCCTCCTAACAACTCGCTCTGAAGATCCAATAGCTGGAGGAACGGATGCTGCTGGGACCTGAAAATAAAAACATCTCTTCAGAATAAGCATATAGGAAAAGAATATGCTTATAGTTGAGGTGCAACTGGTTTTGTTAAATAAAGCATAGAAGAAGCATGGCATTAAGGAATCACTAGACCATTCAAACTTGCCTGGCGAATAGTGGCTTTCTGGGTGAACTCAACCAAGTCAGATATTCCATTAGCCGTATGATCCTAAAAGGATTTTAAGAAGATAGCATTAGGAGCATGTCGATGAGTTTGTTGGTAATATGTAGTGGTAACATGAGCTTCTACTTTTCCTAAAAAAAAAAACATGAGCTTTCTACTCACCTGGGTGTATTCCAGACTCACAAGCTTTGATTCCTGCATGATACAAGATACAAAAAATGTACACGAGTAATATTCAGTAAATAAGGTAGAAATCTGGATATTCAGTAAATAAGGTAGAATCTGTTCCGGTACGAGGCACATACCAGACTCCGAACTACAAGGTTAACTGATTGTAAATCCTCTTGGAAAGCACTCAGATCCCCATGGATGACTGTGACCTACAAGTCAGTCATGAAATGCCATTAGGTCGCCGAAAATGCATCAAAAACTATAAAAGTAAACACAAAAAATAAAAGGAAAAACAGTTCCAACCTCATCCCTTGTCCCTTCAATAATTTCTTGTGTTTCATCTAAACTGATATCCACACGATCAATCCTTCCAGCGAGATGTTTCCTTGCAGACTGAATAGTGAAAATCAAAGGCCAGTAAGATGTTTTGGTTGGAACAATGAAAACATGGAATCACAAGTAACACATTTGAGTTCAGCGTTGCTGAAAGAAGTTAAAAACTTACAGTGACATCATCTGAAACCTTGTCCAATTGGCTGCCAACTACATTGCAAGCATCAGATAAGCCACGCTTCGTGACAAACATCAAATCAGAAAGTTTCCAGCCCTGCAAATCTATGTAACTTTAGAAACTAGCTAGAACAGTGAAACAAGAAATGGCAAGCAGATAGGATTGTAATAATATGCACTTGCGTCCATGATCTAGAATGACGGACAGAACAATAAACATCAAGATAGCAACTAGAATAATCAAAGATTATGTCCTCCTCATTCTGTACTTCCATTGAGGTGAAAGAATCAAACATTACCTTCCACTTAATGTAGGCGTAGCCAACAGCCCCAGCAACAACCACCGCTGTTATAGTAAATGTACCAGGTCCTACAGAAGAAGGATTTACATGAATGTCGTTCAAGGACATTTGAGAAAGAATGTGTGTAACCTAGAGGGGCAAACATATGTAATTGTGTATGTTTAAAGGCAAAAGAGCATGATGAAAGTTTATTAGCAATTATAAAAACTATCACGTGTCCAAGAACCTTTATAATGCAGCGAATAATATAATGATAATCAGTAGTGCATAGCCAAGACCATGACAAATAATAATAAGGAAAGAAAAAGAAAAGAACATGTGAACTGAATCGCAAAATGGTATACTCTGTATATGAACAGACAACGCAATTGTAGCTCTGTCGAACATGTAGATATAAAAACAACAGACCAAGTCTGAAAAAAAAATCGAAAGGTAATAGAAATATCTAACACTCTAAAATCGCATTAATTCTTAGCAAGAGATGTCGACATCGGGGCATACACAAAGTCTAGTGTCATGTGAAATTTATGTTTGTATGATCTGTGACCCATGCATAAGTCTGTAACTAAAACATAGTAACTAGTCAGCAGGAACTTACCTGATCTAGCAGCATTGGTGACAACTGTAACAGGCCTTGATCCTAGAGATTGTATCTCCTGTCTGAGATGGTTGACCTGAGATAATAGCTGAGCGGTGTGTGTATCGGTGTTAGACGATGTATCTTTCCCTTCGTTTCCATGCTTCTTGACAAACTAGGGGGGAAAGGAATCATGTGACGGTGAGTTATAAGATATATAATCAATATAGCAGTAGTATTCTGGGTTGATAGTTAGGGCATGGAGGGGCAATAATACAATACCTTGGCAGCACCAGAAAGTACCTCCCCGGCACTAGGGAGTTTGGCATCACCACCTACAAGAACTGATCCAAGAATTCCTGCAGGCAAGCAAACAACATAAACATTGGTACCGAGTAAAACTAGTATAGTTATTTAGTGAAGGCGTAATTATACTTAAGATAAAAAGAAAGGCAGGATCAGCCTATGTACTGGGGAAGCCACTAAGTTGGGGGGGATTTGACAGTGGTGTTTCATGTAGCAGTGGGATACCCAGGTAATAAGTTCCCCTCTGGTTTGAAGCGAAAGCTTAGTTGAACTAAACAAACCCCGGCCCCGGCCCTAAAAGGCTAGATCAATCTATGTATTGGAATCTGGTAAAGCAAAATACTCCGTACAAGATGAGCAAATAAGTTGGGATTTGGTAGTGGTATTCCCTAGAAGTGGGAGGGATTGGTTTGGTAATCTATCTATGACTGCGCCATGGTTGCAAGTGGCATCTACTCCTATCTATCTATCAATCTCCAAGTCGAAAGTCAACCGGCTGGGCTGGGCGACGAGAAGCTAGCTAGGGCTGCGGGTGGACCTCAGGAGGGAGCAGACGGCGGAAAGTGACTCACCGGAGCCGACGAGGATGGCGACGTTGCCAAGCACCATGGCGGCGCGCGAGGAGAAGCCCCTCCTGCCTGTAGCTCTGCTTCAATCTAACGGCGGCGGCGGCGGCGGGGACGAGGGCGGCGACCGGCGAGAGGGAGGACAGATTAAACCTCTCGATCGATCGATCGACTACTTTTTTTTTTTCCCTAGACTAGTAGAATAAAGAAAGAGGAAAATTACTCCTACTTGTTTGCTAGAGAGAGAATAGAATACTGTAATTATTAACGGGGCAGGGAGGCCAAGGGGAGATCTCAATCTGAGACGGTCACCTGTTGAAGTTAGACAGTATATTACCCGTTTTCTTTTTTCCCACGCTCCCCTCTAATCCTATTTTTTTTACGACACTGCCACTACGTTTTTTTAATCCGTCCCATTTCCTTTTTATCACAAAATTGCATAAACTGCCTCAACTTTAATCATCCTTGTTTTGATATTCTACCTCGAAACCTATTTATATTGCAAAAACCAACACTGTCGCTTTGAAAATTGCTCATTCCCAAGCTAGATCGTGCTCATCTAGTGTGATTGCGTGATAAGTCCAACTCAAACTTGTTCTTAGCCAAAGATTAGTGCTACTTCCATCTCATCTCGTGACAAACAAGTCTCTCACCCAACCTAGAGTCGAGGAATAGCCCAAGAATAAACTCAAGTCGGACTCAGCTCGTAGCCACACTAGAAGAGCCTGACTTACATGATATATATGGTCAGCAACGAATACGCATCACAAGAAAAAAAGGGTCGAATCAACTACTCCCGTGTGTGAGGGAGAAATGTAGGGGAATATAGTATAAGGCCCTGTGTACTTCAAGGGGGTGAAAATTTTTAGCGTGTCACATCAGATATATGGATACACATTTGAACTATTAAACGTAGTCTAATAACAAAATAAATTACATATTCCGCATGTAAACTACGAGACAAATTTATTAAGCCTAATTAATCCATCATTAGCAAATGTTTACTGTAGCACCATATTTGTCAAATCATGGCCCAATTAGGCTTTAAAGATTCATCTCGCATTTTACACGCAATCTGTGTAATTAATTTTTTTTGTCTATATTTAATACTCCATACATATGTCTAAACATTTGATGTGATATGGTGAAAAGTTTTTCGTGGGAACTAAACATGGCCTAAGTTTGTATATGCAATGTACTATAAGAACATTGTTTGAGCCCGTAATTTTAGAAGTATAGAGCAAATAATCCACGTCAATAATACGTTGAATAAGCAGAAAAGATCACGTGTGTTATTTTCATAGTTGATAGTTTTTTTTTACTATCCTTTTATTCATGTCCAAGCACCTTTGGTTACTCACTCTAGACTGTTCTATTATTCCGCGTGAGACAGGGATTAGAAGGGATTGAGTAGGATTAATTCCGCACCTTAATCCCGATGGGATTAACCAAAGAAGGCCTTAGGATAAGTTTAGAGGCATTTTGGTAATTTGATAAGGGCAAATAATAATACTCCCTTCATTCGAAAGGAAAACAAATATAGTACTAGAGTACCATGAATCTGAATACTATATTAGGTTTTTTTTTTAAATGGAGTAGTACATTGGATTATTGTAAAGCATATTGTAGGTCAAACTACAAAGTCCTCGGAATAATAATATGGCATTGGCAATACCAGATCAAAGCTCAATTTGATGATAGATTGTCTTCATTAGATCAGTACCTTAAACCTGAATAATACTACAGCTTCTTGGAGGAGAAGGACCTTGTCATCTTCTTCTTCCTCCTTCCAGAAGAGGATATTAGTATACGCTTGTCCTCTCATAGCACATGAACCAAACAACCCATTCTTTTGTGTCCGGTTACAAATATATTATTTCATCCTTTAAGAAATAAATGTGAACATGTGAACTGCTATATGTCGTTGGGCTACTCAATAAAAAGGTGATTGATACATCATACAAGAGGGGGAATCTAACGTGATAATAGTCCCATAACATTGCTACACTTTTGTTGTCTTTTGCATACCCACACACAAATAGAAACCTTCAAGTTACACAGGTCATCATACTGTTATATGAACTTTCAGAAAATTAAAACTGCAATCCAACTCTGCAGCCATCATTCAGTCAAAAATTATTCCAGCCTATCATCAAAGCATAAGCAAAACCTAGTATCGAGCCATTATTGTACAAAACCAAGTGTCATCGGTTCAGTATAGAGGGCTAGAGGCGGACATGGAGCCAATTCTAAACCATGTTCTTAGGATCAAAACCAAGTGTCATCAGTTCAGTATAGAGGCGGACATGGAGCCAATTCTAAACCCTGTTCTTAGGATCCCGCGGTGGATGAGTTCCCAGCATCATTTTTCTTCATGTCTTCAAACTTATCAATGGCGACCTGCAGCTCATCTGTGCCTCCCACCGCTCTCATGGTGTAGTAATACACGCCGAGGACGAAAGCAGACAGTCCTCCAGCCACCACAAAGTTCTTGGTCTTGGGTGCCAGGCTGCCGAATCCCGCCATCTTTAGTTTGCACCGGTTGTTGCAGAAACTGAAGAAGAGAATGTTACAGAAACAGGAAGAAGTGGTGCCACACTGATGCCAGTTGACCTTTAGCCAAGGCACAGAGCTATATGGGATATATGAATTTAAACTGAAGATAGATATGGTTTGCTGATGTAGCCTCAAGACTAAGACCCTGTTTAGATGCGACTAAAACTTTTAAGTCCCTATCACATCGGATGTTTGGACACTAATTATAAATATTAAACGTAGACTATTAATAAAACCCATCCATAATCTTGGACTAATTCACGAGACGAATCTATTGAGCCTAATTAATCCATAATTAGCCTATGTGATGCTACAGTAAACATTCTCTAATTATGAATTAATTAGGCTTAAAAAATTTGTCTCGCAAATTAGCATTTATTTATGTAATTAGTTTTGTAAGTAGTCTATATTTAATACTTTAAATTAGTGTCTAAATACAGAGACTAAAGTTAAGTCCCTGGATCCAAACACCACCTAAACTAGTGTTTGTCTTTAAATCACAGTATAACTAAAAGTGGGAATTTGTAATACAAGTTCCGATTATACTAGAAAACACTCGAGCTAGTCAGTGCTAGAATATCAATCCTGGACAGAACCCATCTGCTACAAGTGCAGCTGGCAATGGCAAGTTCGAGAGCATAACATTAGCTTACTTAGCAGTGGGGAGGGGATTGAACCATACCAGAACATAGCCTAGATTGATTTGGACATGGAAAAGGAAAAGACTTACCTCACAGCAGTAAATTTTGAGAGATTAATAATTTTAGACCAAAGAAAGATTAGAGATTTAAACTAGGTTTGATGGTTGGAGTTTGGCTAGACTAGTAATTTCGGGTGTTTACTGTTTAGGGAGAGTATTTGATCTCCCTAAAATAAAAAATAAGCTATCATATTCAGAGTGAAGGGCCTTAGTATTAGAGCGTAGAAACTCATCATCACCTGTTTCAGCTACTGATGATGTTAGTACACTAAAATCATAAATATCTCAGAGCTCCTTTTATACTGGATTTATAGTGGTACCCAAAAACCAAAGGCAGTAATTGTGTAGAAAGCAAAGATTTTCATATTATCGGCACAGACAGGTCTCTGTATTGTTTTTTTTTGTTCAGATTCAGAGTTGGTTTGTAAAAAGACTCCCTCGCTCTAATATACTCCTAGGCAGAGTAGGAAATTGACTAGGAAAGGATGTAAGCAAACATCAGATCCATCGCAATAAACTTTGGCCTACACCATGCATGAGAATGAGATGAAGAAATCCCCAAAAGATAGATAAGGATGAGCAAGTCTCCAGATGAGAGATCCGGCTAAGTTTTTTTTTTACCTTTGGCGAGGAGGGAGGGAGGGCTGTTGGGGGTTGGTGAGGATGCGGCGGCGGAGGAGGAGAGAGTGGGGTGGAGGAAGGCGGCGCCAGGCGAGCGAGAGAGAGAGGTCTTCGTCTTCGAGGATGAGGAGGTCGGTTTCCTGTTCCTCCCACTCCCAGTGGGCCAATGGGCCTTGCTGGGCTGGGCTAAACTGCAAGCCGGCCCGATGAGATGAACTTCACCGCAGGAGCGCGCCAAGGCCAAGGAGAAGGGGGTGTTGCCGTTGCCGTGGTGGTCATGGTCGTCGTCGTCCATCTTTTTTCCAGTGGCGGCGGAATGGCCGCAGCAGTCGCAGCCTCCTCAACAGCTCTTCATCCTCGGCGGCGGATAACCGACCGGCTTCCTGCAAAAGATAGCAGGCTTCATCAATAAATAAAGAGAAGAAGTGATCGTTAATACGACTCATCAACGCATGCAACGACCTCAAGTACTTTGTTGACCCTTGTCTCAAATCTCACCGACTTTGCCAACTATACTACTTCAGATCAGGTTTGTTCATACTCCATCCATATGCATCCCATCCCGACAGGCAGAGGGGCGGACAAACATAACAAACTTAATTTGTGACGAGTTTGTTGAACATTAATTTTCTCCTCTTGTTTGAATATTAGTAATGGAGAGCAGTAATAATCACACAATATATAGTTCATTGACAAATAGAACAAAAAGTAACACTTTATATAGGAATATATCACAAGAAAAGAAGAGAGGAGATTGGTCGGCAGTGGCACAGTGGCAGGCAAGCAAGCAGAACAAGAGGCCGGGAAGCAGGCGCCCTTTCTTTTGGATGCATGTCGTTGGAAGCAAACAAAGCTTTAGCATCCAATTTCCAGTGATCCAGTCCAACCATGGCGATGGAGGAAGGAGAAGGCCACAGGAGAGCAGGATGTAGAAGATGGCGGGAGGGAATGGCAGAGGCCCGCTTCCCGCCAAAAGCCTATCTCTGCGACTCGTGTCTCCGTGTGCGTGTGCTTGCGTGCTGTTACTGTACTCCATACAGTACGCTGGTGAGGTGATGTGCGTACACATTTTTTTGGTGCGTGCAGCCGTGCACGTTGCACCCCACTACCATCCCTGCTTTTGCGCTAGTACCACCACATTCCTATGCAGCTCGTGATCCAGCCCTTACAGAGCTACGAGTACAATTTCCCCATCTTTGATGATTTCCCTGTGCCCCTTCGTAACTACTCCCTCCGAAAAAAAAAAAAAAAAAAAGGAAAAAAGACAAACCCTGGTTTCCGTGCTTAACGTTTGACCGTTCATCTTATTTAAAAAAATTATGAAAAAAATTAAAAAGATAAGTCACACATAAAATATTAATCATGTTTTATCATCTAACAACAATGAAAATACGAATTATAAAAAAATTTCATATAAGACGGACAGTCAAAGTTGGACACGGAAACTCGTGGTTTGTCTTTTTTGACGGAGGGAGTAGTCCATCCGTCCTCTAATATAACAAATTTTAACATTTCACTTGAATTGTTTAATCATTCATCTTATTAAAAAAAATAGAATTATTATTTATTTTATTTGTGACTTACTTTATTATCAAAAGTACTTTAAACACAACTTTTCGTTTTTTATATTTACACAACTTTTTCAAATAAGATAAGTGGTCAAGCAGTGCAAACAAAATATCAAAATCCATTATATTAGAGGATGAAGGGAGTACTCCCTCTATCAAAAAAACGAATCTAGGATTGTATGTCCAAATTCGTAGTATTAGGATATGTCACATCCAATACTAGGTTGGATTTTTATGGGACGGAGGGAGTACTCCTATACAGGCCCTGTTTAGTCCCTAACAAAAATTTTTCACCCTGTCACATCGAATATTTGGACATATGCATGAAGTATTAAATATAGAAAAAAACTAATTTCATAGACCACATGTAAATTGCAAGACGAATCTTTTAAGCCTAAATGCGCCATGATTTAACAATGTGGTGCTACAGCAAGCATTTGCTAATAACAGATTAATTAGACTTAATAATAAATTCGTCTCGCAGTTTACAGGCAGAATCTGTAATTTGTTTTGTTATTAGACTGCGTTTAATACTTCAAATGTTCAAATGTATGTTCGTATATACGATGTAACACGCCAAAACATTTTACCCCTGAAACTAAACAGTGCCATATTTGAAAGGAATATTTTTTTATCTATGATAGAGAGCTTATATTATATTTAAGTTCCAAACCAAATTTCCCTCCCATATTACATGCATACTACACTGAGGTGGTGTTTGGGAAGGAGGGAATTATGCTTTTGTGTGTTAGTCCCTACTTCCCAAACACCACCTGATACACACCACTATTTATTACATACTCTTTATTTTTCAGATTCGCAACTAATATGCATCATATCTAACTAAAATTTTTTTATATTTTAAAATGAATGAATAGGTAAGTGATTTTGATATTTCCAATACTCATACCCTACTATGAGAGTATACATTAATATGGTTTTTCTTAGACAAAACGATATTGTGTTTGATTTGTGTTATAATAGGTGTATAATATGGTCCTCATCGGATGGCCAAATGTTTTGGCTGATCAGCCAAAACTGCCTCTAATTCAGCTAAATTTCAATGTATATTGGTTAGCTTATTTTGCTTAAATGGCTGATCAGCCAAAGCATCTGGCCATCTGATGAGGCCATATATGTTCTACCACCATTTAGTTACAGTTTACAGTAGACTTAGGTTTTTTTAAATCACTGCTTGATTAAAACCAATAAAACAACTTATAATACCTTAAAGATAGTGACTTACTATCTATAATTGACAATAATACGCATAACTATTATTTTCTTCTCAATGCTTTATAAGTTGTATGTAGTCTTTGTGTTTTTCTCATATTGAAAAATCAGAATGTCTAAAATCAACTTTGATCGTTGCGTCGATCGAATTCCACACACATCATTGTCGAGAACAGGCATCAAACCAAAACAAAAATTGATGTTAGAGAGTAACTGAGCCGCTATAGGCCATAGCCATCGAAGCCGATCTGTCGAAGACAGAAGTTATCCAGAACACCCATTAACATGAAACCTACAATACGACATCTCAAAAAATATCATAGCATCTAGAGTATCATCGTCACTATTCTAAATATCCTAAAAACCATAACTAAGTTTTCAGCTAGAGAGTCCACACTGAGACACGGGATGTCAGTGATATCACCTTTAGGAAGGTATATGGCATCCACAAACTATTGTTGGTGTTGATGCTCTTAGCGATGATAGTCCCAGCCCCAGGTATGCAACGATACAAGCTTGACCTCCTCTTCCATGTCGAGTGGCAACACCAGCTTTCCTAACCACTACGGATACGATCAAGGATGGCTTGCCAATGCACCAGGCCACAAGATAATGAGAGTAGGGGCTTGTTTGGCACAGCTCCAGCTCCAGCTCCACCCTCCTGGAGCTCAGTCAAACAATTTCAGCTCTACCAAAACTAGGAGTAGAGCTCTCTCACAAAACGTATTAGAGCTGTGGAGCTGGGTTTTGACAGCTCCACAATTCCACTCCAGACTTAACTCCTAGAGTTATATTTAGGAGTTGGAGCTGTACCAAACAGGCCCTAGTTGTTGGTTCGCTCCGCCTTTTATGCTACTGTGGAGAAGCTAACATGTCGAAAACAATCTTACAGCAAATCTATTATATTAGTAGATTAGTTTTAATATAAATTATTCTTGGGCCATTTACATGTCACGCTGTAAATACATTCAGGTTATCTATAATTTTTATATATTTAAGTTAAACGGTTGATATTATTATTTGTAAGAGTTTTGTAAAAAAAAATAGATGTAGGCTGTGTTTAGTTGGATCCAAAGTTTGGGTTTTGGTTGAAATTAGATATGATGTGACTGAAAAGTTATGTGTATGACATGTTGATGTGATAGAAAAGTAGTGAAGTTTAGATCCACACAGCCGTAGTAGTGCTCATTCAGAAATAAAGCTGTAGCCGAAGAAACAGCAGGTTGCATTTTCGGTTTCATTTGTCCATTTTATTTAAACTAAAGAGAGACAACACTGACAGGAAAAGGACACCAGTTTTCAAGAGTGGAGGTGCTACTACTACTAGTGGCTAATAAAATGCATTTCCCACTGGTAATAATCCATCACCAGTGAGAAAGAAGACCTCTTTAATTGTATTCCCAAGACAACAAGACACGGAGGCGCAGGCAGAGCAAGAGGAAGGGAGGAGGAGGAGCACTCACCAAGAATCCAATAACCAAGCAAAGATGCTGCCGCTGCCGTTCCTGCCACCGTCTTAGCTGGCCCCCCTACACTGGCCAGGGCCAGGATCATCACTGCACTTGTGCACAGTCTCTGTGAGGAGAGGAGGGAGTAGAGAAACCTCCCCAAAACCCATCCTTTGTTTTTGCACTTGCAACGGCAAACCTACCTCCATGGCGATGGCAATGGCAATGCCGTCGTCTTCCCCACCCCTCTTCTTCTCCTTGCTCAATCTCATGCTGCTGCTTCTTCTTCTTGCACCCTACTGCAGCGCCGTCTCCGTCCCCAACAACAACACCCACCACCGCTCCTCCTCCCCAACCCAAACCACCTTGCAGCAGCTCCACTCTCCCGACTCTCCTCCTCCTCCACCTCTCCCCACCCCCACTGTCACCACGCCCACCCCTCCACCTCCGCCCCCTGCGCCCCGGCCTCCTCGCCGCCACCATCGCATCCCGCCACCGCCACCGCCTCTCCTCCCCACTCCTCCACCGCCACCCGCTTCGATATCGCCAACGCCCGCACCGCCACTTCCCCCGCCGCCGGCGCCAGCACCACCTCCCACACCCACACCCAAGTTCCCCTCCTCCTCCGCCAACCCCTCTCCCCCCGACGCCTACCCCTTCACCAACTACCCTTTCTTCCCCAACTTCGCCGCCCCGCCACCCCCTACCCAGCAGCAGCAGCAGCAGCCATCCGGCGACGGCGGCCTACCCACTTTCCCGGCCAACATCTCCACTCTCGTCCACCCCACCCAGCGCCCACCCCGCCGCTTCCCTGTCCTCCAGGCCCTCCTCCTCTCCTTCCTTTCCCTCTGCCTCCTCCTCCTCTCCGCCCTCCTCTCCCTCCACCTCTTCCGCCGCCTACGCCACCGCCACCATTCCCACTCCCACCCAAACGCTCGCTCGCCCTCATCCCGTTCCGGAGCCACCAACCACCACCACGATGACGACGGAGACGGCGATGAGGAGGGACGCCGCCTCAAGCCGCCGCCAATGCCCACCTCCTCCTCCAACCCCAGCACCGAGTTCCTCTACCTCGGCACCCTCGCCGCCCCGCCGCAACAGCCGCCCCCGACCACCTCCCATCTCCGTCCGGGATCGCCAGAGCTCCGCCCTCTCCCGCCGCTCCCACGCGTCGGCCCACCTTCCGGCGAGTTCGCATCCCGGAGCTCCGCCTCCGACCCCAGCACCGCGCCACCCGCCGCCGCCGAGGCCTCCTCCTCCTCGCTATCCCCTTCCTCGCCGTCGGCCTCCTCCCCCACGCTCGGCTCCAGCCCTGTCCATCTCCGCCCGCCCTCCATCCCGCAGCCGCGTGGCCGAGCCCCCAATCCATCGCCCCCCAAGCGGAGGCCGCAGCCTCCGGAGCCAATGGCAGCGCACGCCTGGAACCCCTTCGTCCCCATGCCGCCTCAAGCACCTCCTTCGGAAGAGGAGGAGGAACACTCGCCGTCCGAGAAGAGCATGCGCAAGTCGCGGCCTTTGCACTCGGATAAGCTAAAGCCCGGGTCTTTGCAGTAAGATGCACCCCCAATGCAACCACTCAATTTTGATCTCAACTTGCTAACTTTTTTTTTAAAAGAATTATTTCGATTTGATGGCTTCCTGTTGCTTTTCCTGTTAATTTGCAGCATGAAGGATGAGATGATCCACCTATATCTGAACAACTCCATGGCGGCGGCGATGCCGAGGGAGGTGTGCTTACTGGGCGCTCCGAGGTGCCATGGCATTGGAATGCTGGTGGGAGCATTGGGTATTTCCAAGGAGCAAGTGCGCGAAGCCATCTTGGAAGGTATGTGTGGCTGCTTCTTCCTAGCAATTGGATTTGGCGCGCAATGTTGTGCTCTTGAATTATGCTGTCTAAAGTTGTCATCTTTCTGAATGAAACTAGTGTTCACCTATTGTGGGGGCCTTTGGAATGGGTGGCTGTTACCATTGGCCATATTTGCGATGCATTATTATGCCCACCATCAACGATGAATAGATGATGCATGGTGCCTCTGTCCTTTCAACTTTGGTTGCCTTTTCACCAGTTATATTGCACAATTTGGTTCAGTGATTGTTTCTTGCCCTGTGATTGTCCCACATGGCCTGATTAGCTGACTGAAATAGTTTATTTCACAACCCGCCCTTTTGACATAGGTGCACATGAAATTTCCTTGTTCCCTTGTGATCGTCTGATCTCTTCTTTGTAGTTGCCTCCTCTTTGTGTAAAGGGGGAAAAACACTTGTTTTCAGTATTTTGCATCCTCTGGTATCAATATAGTACTGGCCACATTTTTCCAATATTGCCATATTGGTATAGACTTTTTTTGGTGACTATGTGTTTCCCTGTGGTGGGCTTCTGTATTTTGATTCAGCAACGTAGATCTGCATTCAAGTTGTTACAAACATCATAGCTAATCAGTTATTGAGCCTGATAACATTATTTGTTCACTTTTCATGCTATGCCTTAATACAATATGGGTACGGTTTGCACTGTTAATTCCTGCCGTTTGGGAGTTGACATGGTTTAATTTGTGTTTGCTGGATATAGGTAATGCACATGGTTTGGGAGTTGAAGCCTTGCGAATGCTCATGCAAATGGTCCTCACCAATGAGGAAGAGCTTAAACTGAAATATTTCAAAGATGATCTATCCACCAAACTTTGCCCTGTGGAAGCTTTTCTAAAGGCAGTGCTGGATATTCCATTTGCGTTCAAGAGAATGGATGCTATGCTCTATGTTGCCAACTTCTATTTGGAGGTCAATCAGCTCAGAATGTCATATGCTACTCTTGAGGTATAGTTGAGCCCTTGGTTGAATATTTTGTACAAATTGTTTTGCACCCTTTGTTGAAAGAAGCAAAACAAAACTTTCATATGCAATTGGGTATTATGCATATCAATATTTACACAAATGATTTGAATCTGTGAACGGAATAGACCCTCACTTACTGTTTCCTTGTTTATAGTATTACTCATCTCTGAGGGTTTCTTATCGTTTTTCATACAGGCAGCTTGCCAGGAGCTGAAAAACAGCAGGTTGTTCCACAAGGTCCTTGAGGCTGTTTTGAACTTTGGCAACTTGATGAGTATCGATACAGGATCTCCGAATTCACATGCCATGGAACCCAACACTCTGCTGAAGATCGTTGATGTGAAAGGAGCTGATGGCAAGGCTGCTCTCCTGCAATTTGTTGTCCATGAAATTGTGAAACCTGAAGGCCACAGTCCGGTGTGCAAAACGAATGCAAATACTACTCAGCAGTATGATGTGGAATACAGAAAACATGGTCTTCAGGTTGTGTCAAAACTTGCGGCTGAGCTGAGCAATACCAAGAAAGCTTCATCCATCGATATGATGAAGCTCAGCAGAGATGTTTCAGAGCTCGGCGTAGGGCTTGGAAAGATCCACGACGTGTTGAGGCTAAACAGCATGGTGACCTCAGCGGACAGCGCGAGGCGGTTCCACAACACAATGAGCATGTTCCTGAGGCAGGCAGAGGAGGAGATCCTGAAGCTCCAGGCGCAAGAGAGCATCTGCCTGTCTTGTGTGAAGGAGGTGACTGAGTACTTCCATGGTGAATTGAGCAGCGGCGACGAAGGGCACATGGCGAGAGTTTTTGGCAGTGTGAGGGAGTTCCTTGCCATGCTGGACCGAATCTGTAAAGAAGCTGGAGAGGAGATGAAGAGCAGCGGCTGGATGATGGGTAGAGACTGGAATATGGCTGCCCCAATGGGAATGACAACGCCTTGAGCTGCAGCAATGCTGGCATATTTGTTATGTTACGGTCATCTCATCTCTTTGTTACTAATAATTTTGTAGCATATATGAATGGAGATTATGTTTCCTAGCGTACAATCAATGGCACCTATAACTATATGTATGTAATGTACTCCATCTTCTTGTATAAAGTACTACTAGTAGCAAGCATACCGGTATGGTATGGATCTTTTCTATTTTATCATTCCTTGGGTATGTCTATTTTGATGATAATGCTTAGCGGTGGTTTATTGGTTCTTGTTCTTCATCTCTAGCGGGATGAATAAGCTCAAAATTAGACATGGTTTAATTGGTGAAGTTTTCTATAGGTAGGTAACTATATTGATGATAGGAAATGTAAATGGACTATCCTGGTAAAAAAATATTTAATGTTTGGAACAGAATCTGATTAAACTTTTACAGTTTTTCTGATAATAAATACCCGTGCCAAGTATACCTTTAAACTGAATATTTAGAGATTTTTTATGGTTGAAATTTGAAAATCTTATCACGAATATCGAATATTTTAGACCAAAGTGTACTAAAATAATCAAATATTACTCATATAGTATTAGATTTGTTTATTAAGAGACGAAGGGAATATGCTAAATGGAGAAGTTTAGAGTGTAAATGGTGGAGATTTGAATGGATTTCGGGTTAAGGAGTTGTAGTGGCGTCTATCACCAACAGCAAAGACTTGCTGGTGAACTCTTCCTTTGATGGGAGTTAACACTGTTACAGAGAGAGAAGAGAAGGTCTTCTTCTTCCTTTGATTTGTGTCGATCACTCTTGCCCAGCTATGTATGCCTAGCGCCGCCGCCACGTCGATTTGCCTCATCCAATTAATTGCAAAAATCGATTCTCCACTACTTTCTTTTGAATTTTCTTTTCAGTTCAGAATTTTCTTTTCAGTTCGTCATTTTTTATCCTGAGTTTTATGGATTGCTTCGATTTTGATAAAAAATCGAAAAAGAGGATCACTTCGATTTTGATAAAAAAAATCAAAAAAGAGGATCGAGTGGATCAAAATATCTCAACAATTTTGGAGATTGAGAAAGATTCGACCGCATTTGATGGAGAGGATCGACTTCGTCATGGTACGGACATGAGACTGTTCGAGCAGGGCCTACAACAATACTTGTGGGTTGAGCTGAAAAGAGGTAGGCCAGACACGAGACTGTTTGAGCTGAGCCTACAGCTTCACTTGTGGGCTGAGCCGAAGAGAGATATGCCGAGCAGTGAAGGTAGCAGCTGAAAAGGAAGGAAGGAATGAACGTTCGGTCCAAAAACAAGGAAGCATTCGGTCCAAAATCAAGGGAGCTTAATGTACATGATAAAAAATGTTTTTACCCGTTGCAACGCACAGGTATTTTTTTTATTACTACGGATAATAGATTTATTTATTTTGAGACGGAGATAGTATGCTAAATGGAGAAGTTTAGAGTGAAAATTGTGAAGATTTGAATGAATTTCGGGATAAAGAGTTGTATATCTCTCGCCAACAACAAAGTCACCAACTAACTAAGTTGTTAGACTTGTTGGTCTAATCTAATCGGAGTTAACACTGTTACAAGAGAGAAGAGACTAGTAGTTGTTTGGTCGTCTTCTTCCTTCGACTCGAAGAGATCGATCACTCTAGTCTTCCCCAGCTATCTATGGCGTCCCCCTGCTCCCAACCCTAGCTCACCCATGGGATCCAACACTCCACCCTCCCGCGCCGCCCTCGAGCCCTTCGCCACCCTCGACCCCGCCGCCCTCGCCGGCCTCCCAGCCTCCTCCCCGCTCACCGTCCGCTCCGCCGCCATCTCCTCCCCATACCTCTACCTCGGCACCGGCGGCGGCAAGCTCCTCCTCTTCACCCTCGATTCCCCCTCCCCCGACTTCCTCCGCCTCCTCCCCATCGGCCCCACCCGCCCCGTCTCCGCCATCCTCCCCCTCCCCGCCGTCGCCCGCCTCCTCCTCCTCGCCGACGGCCTCCTCCTCCTCGCGGACCCCCTCCTCTCCCGCCCCGTCCGCCGCCTCGGCTCCGTCCGCAACGTTGCCGCCGTCGCCGCCCGCGCCTCCGAATCCGACGATGATCGCCCCTCCTGCTCCCTCGCGGTCTCCGTCGGGAAGAAGCTGCTCCTCGTTGACCTCACCCTACACGACGCCGACGAGTTGGAGGTGCGGACGCGTGACATCGCCCTCGTCGATGGCGTCAAGGCGCTCGCTTGGGTCGGGGACTCCGTCTTCGTCGGCACTGCCTCGGGCTACTCGCTCTTCTCCACCACGAACGCCCAAGGTGGCGATATATTCACGCTCCCTGAGTCCTCCAGGCCACCCAGGGTGAAGCCCCTGTCCGGGGGCGACGAGGTCATGCTGCTCGTCGACAATGTCGGGGTCGTCGTGGACCGATCGGGGCATCCCGTTGGAAGCAGCTTCGTCTTTAACACCACGCCGGATTGTATAGCGGAGGTGTACCCCTATGTTGTTGTTGCCGGGGACTCCAAGGTAGATGTCTACAGAAGAAAGAACGGCGCACATTTGCAGGCTATTCCTTTTGCAAGGCCTGGTACAGGTGGACTAATTGTAGCGAGCGAGGATGCCGGAATTGGCAGCGACGTAGTTGTGATTGCTACGGCTTATAAGGTAACGTAGGTATGTCAACTCATCCATCGGTGCAACTTGACTCAAAATTTCCAATCTGCTCTACCGGATTGCTTAGCTACTGAGCTGCGTTCTGTGTTTGTTAGTAATACTCAATAATTACAATTTCCAATGACAAGACAATGATTTTGTATGCTCAAGTGAAACCCTGACAATGGATTCTCTCATAAATGTGCAGCGCCATTTTATCATGTCGATTTTGTATCACACACTGTACTTATGGACACATTTATTGGCTTGGCCAGGTATTTTGCTACCGTAAAGTATCAGCGGTGGAACAGATCAAGGCACTACTACGAAGAAAGAGTTATGCAGAAGCTATTTCTTTGTTACAAGAGTTCGAGGCCGATGGGGAAATCTCAAATGACATGATTTCCTTTGTGCATGCACAACTTGGATTCTTGTTGTTTTTCGACTTGCGTTTCGAGGATGCTGTAAATCATTTCTTGCTCTCGGAAACTATGCAACCAGCAGAAATATTTCCATTCATCATGCGGGACCCTAATCGTTGGTCAGATCTGGTATGCCTCATTACCACATGTTAATTGTAATGCTGTATCTCCTCGTTGATTTCTATAAGGCATATTTTGATTTAAAAAGTCAAACGTTGTAGATTTTGACCAAAAACTAGACAAGTTACAAATACCAGTTCAAAATGTTTTCACACAATTTTGGTTCTATTTAGAATATATTTTATGACAAAAAAAATCCATGCTCAAGGTTTAACACTGTAGACTCTTTGAAATCAAAATACGCCTTGTAAAATCCACTGGCCACTGGGTATAAATAAGACAACTGTTTTAACACATTCCTTGTTTTATGTTTTATCCTGTAATGTGCTCGAGGAGCTGACTAACTGCACAACCTTTCTCATGATACTCTCTTAACCTTTTCTTCTGTATGTGAAAAGTTCATGTTGAATGCTGCAACTTCTTTTATCTCTTTAATGTGGTTTTCAATGGATAAGACTTTATTAATTTCTTGATATATGAACCCGTTCCTCTTGAGTATCAACATGAGCTGGTTCCTTCAAATTTGAGCGTAAAGCTTATATTGGTAGGCACATCTGTTAAGTTTTGATCTGCTAGATTAATTTGTCAACATATTTTTGTAATTGTCAAATGGAATCTGTAGTTTTCATCACCTAACATACTGATTAAGTTCTCAAGACAAACTGCTCATCTTCCACTATGACTGGCTGCCTTTTGTATTCAGCAGTTTTTTATCTGATTGTGAACTTTGTAAATTTTAGGTGCCAAGAAAGCGTTATTGGGGCTTGCATGCTCCCCCAAAGCCTCTTGAAGAAGTTATTGATGATGGGCTAGTAACACTTCAACAGGCATTGTTTCTCAAAAAGGCAGGTGTGGACACAGTTGTGGATGATGATTTCCTTTCAAATCCACCAAGCAGAGCTGATCTGCTGGAAGTAGCAATCAGAAATATTATCAGGTTTGCTCATTCACGACATTTTTTATTCATTACGAATTGCAAATAAGCTGCTCCATCCAGCTGATGTCTGAATGCTATATGAAACTAGGTACCTGTGTGCATCCCGAGAGAAGGATTTATCTTCTTCAGAGATGGAAGGGGTTGATACTCTTCTGATGTATCTTTATAGAGCTCTCAATCTTGTTGATGACATGGAGAAGCTTGCATCATCTCAGAATAGCTGTGTTGTGGTATGTAAATCCTTTAAACATCTGCAACCTTGAAGCGTTTAAGACTGTTACACACCTACGATACTTAAATCGACATTAACTCTTCATTTGAGAACAGTACATAACTACATATAGTTCAGTGATATTCTTATGTGTTCAAATTAAAAAAAAGATACAATAAAAATACTATGGTGGTGCAGGAGGAACTAGAATCACTTTTGGATGACTCTGGACATCTGCGGACGCTTGCATTCTTATATGGCAGTAAAGGAATGTGCTCCAAATCCCTTGGTATCTGGCGTATCTTAGCAAGGAATTACAGCACTGGTTTGTGGAAGGATCATGCAATCCTACCTGAAACTGACTCTCTTGAAACTTCTGTTGGTAAAATGTCTGGTGAGGAAATTGCTGCCGTTGAAGCCTCCAAGATACTTCAAGCATCATCTGATCAGGACCTTGTTCTGGAGCATCTTGGATGGGTATTTACTTCACACTAAGGACTTCATGATCAATGATCTGTTCCACTTTGTGTACTTCTACTGACTATTTGCGTTTAGGTGGCAGACATTGATCAAGAGCTTGCAACTGCAATTTTAACATCTGAAATGAGGGAAAAACAGCTTTCTCCTGGTAATTGCTTTGTTTTAGATAAACCACTATACCAGTGTGCCTTTTATGGCTTATCCATGGCAGATCAACACAATTTCCAGTTTTTTTTCTCCTTTTGACTTATGAATGTGTATATAACATAGTGTGGATGGTAGTAGGCATATGTAATCATGGATCGATGGGCTCTCTTTCTCCTATTTTAGAACTAACAATATTTTCACTATATCAGCCTATATTGCATCCAGAAAATTGTGTTTGCTACTTAGGGCTGCTAGGAAACTTTTTTGGGTGTAACTAACATGCGTTAACATTTATTCTGGATGATTGTTATTCTACAGAAAAGGTTGTTGCTGCCATTGATCCAGAGAAGGTTGGCATTCACCAAAGGTACATATAATGAATCGACAAAATCATTACAAGTTAGAACTCAAGATTCCATGATGATCCTCCAATGATCCTTGTTAAAAAAATGTTAAATAGTAACAGAGTGAATTATGGGTATACGTTGTGCAAGTTTGTTCATTATACAATTGCATGATCATAAACAATGAACTAATAGCAGTTTGTCAGGCTTCTTACTAATTACTTGGTATCTTGGGATCCATCACCACTGTAGAGTGACCTGAACATTGATACGATTGATTGATGATCTTGTCTTTCCATGCCAGATTATTCGAGTAAATGCTGACAATAATAGTTGTAACCAAGGGGGGCCTGTTTGGATCAATTCCATTCCTAGTGTTACCAATTTTTTTGGGCAATGACAAGATTTGTCTATTGCCAAAAATTTTGGCAAGAATGAGTGGGTTCTAATTTGTATGGGCATAAGAGTGATGCCAAATAATTTGGCAATGGCAGTTCTTTAGGTTGCAAACCAAATGGGTGACAAATTTCTTGGTGTTGCCAATTATTTGGCATGGTTGAATTGGGGTATAAATCAAACAGGACCTAAGCGTATTCTAAATATATACGAAGGAAACATAATGAGGCTCAATGAAATAACATATTATGACTTGAAGCTACTGTATCATATGCGTATTATATTAGGTAGTTCTTAATCAAATATAGTTACCATTTGCATGTTTCTTTGAAAGCTCTATGTGTTCTATGCCTTTTGTACTCTTGCTGAATAAATTCCTCAGCTTTTATGAAATCTGAATATGCTAAGTTTTGCAGATATTTGCAATGGTTGATTGAGGAACAGGAATGTGATGAGCCTCACTATCACACGTCATATGCATTGTCCCTCTCCAGATCTGCCATGGACGCAGTCCGTTTGGGATCCAACAATGAAGAGAGAAACAATAAAGAATTTGATTCTGATATGCAGTTCATTTATCTATTGAGGGAAAGGTTGCAATTTTTTTTGCAATCGTCAGATTTGTATGACCCAGAAGAAGTGCTATATGTGATTTCAGAATCTGAGCTATGGCTGGAAAAGGTGATTATACAATTTATTTCTTCCTTCTCGCGTTCCATGCCAGCTCATTTTGTGTCCTACCCATTGAAATTTATGCTTGCTTGATAGTCCTCATCGCTTATATCTGACATATTTGACATAAAAATCTCTTTCCTTCTGGCAGGCTATTTTGTATAGGAAGATGGGCCAAGAGAACATTGTACTTCAGATATTAGCGCTGTAAGATCCTGTGCTGCATTTATTTTTTATTGGTTTGTTGTTACTTGTAAATTTCAGCAGTAATGTTTTGTTTAACTGGACTTGTACACCCCTACAAGTTCTGTTCCCTAACTTTCTTGTTGGTTCTTCTTCATTTATGATGAAGGAAACTGGAGGATAGTGAAGCTGCTGAGCAGTACTGTGCAGAGATTGGTCGAGATGATGCCTATATTCAGTATGTTATTACCTCACTTCAGTATTTATTACATGGTGGCTTGTTAGTATTCTTGGTACATTCTCTATGTTTTGATTTGATTTTAGCTTTTCTATGTTGACTTATTAGTATTACTAGCATAATTTCATGCATCATGACCTTGGTCCTTAGTTCATATTCTCTACATCTTCCTGTGAACTCAGGCTGTTGGATTTGTATCTGGACCCCAAAAATGGGAAAGGACCCATGTTTACAGCAGCCGTTCGACTTCTCCATAACCATGGGGAATCATTGGATCCAATACAAGTGTTGGAGGTACCACTTTCTTACAGAAGTATGATCAGAATCTATTTGATGATATTAATTTGTTATTTGTGATGTGCATGCTAGTTAACATGGGGGCTAGTGTTTCTAGCCCTTGGTAATTTATGATCATGGGGAGTGAGTCTAGAAAAGCAATTTGTGTTGTCCCAGAAAAAATGAGTGTGCACTTGTTCCTTCAGAACAGGATTCCGAACCATCAAATGGTCATTGCCTGAATGTTGTATTTAGTATTTATTACCTTTTTGGGTTCCTGATATTCCTTAATCATCCTGGTCTATAGAGGTCTGCTGTGATCCTTCTCTTTAGGAGTTGATATATAACAAAAGGTAAATGAGATGTCCTGTTTGTTAATCTCTGTGTATTGGTCTTTGAAAGAAATAAAGAATACATGGATAATAGAAAACTGGTGTAGGGGCATCCCACCGTGTTCTTTTATGTTTATATTATCGCTGCTATTGGTATGATCATCCTATTTTGTGCTACTTTTATTAGAACAAGAATTCTGAAGCCTGAGCTATAATTATTTTTGCCAGAGATTATCTGCTGATATGCCTCTTCAGCTAGCATCAGATACAATTTTGCGAATGCTGAGAGCCCGGGTGCACCATCATCGTCAAGGGCAGGTAAACATAATCATTTCCTGTTTTTCAGCCAATGTCTTCTATTGAAATGTGACTGTTTGAGGAACTATTCTGCCTCTGCACTGTTAATATTTCTCTTGAACTCAAACTTGCTCCCAGGTTGGTCTTATCTTTTATGTGAAGTTTGACTTACCATTTTCTCTTTCGCTCTATGCCTATTGATAGGTAGTTCATAATTTATCACGCGCAACGAACCTTGATGCACGGTTGACCAGATTAGAGGAGAGGTCAAGGCATGTGCAGCTAACTGACGAGAGCATATGTGATTCATGTCGAGCTCGCCTTGGCACCAAGCTGTTTGTCATGTACCCAGATGACTCAGTTGTATGCTACAGGGTATGTCAACTCAAAACAATTTTGCTGTTTGGTTTGCTATTTACTTCTTTGAATGAAAACGTGATTGGTTGTTAGATGCATACTCTGGATTATTATCCGATAATGCATTGCAGGTGAATTCTCTCGTACAAAAGCAGCATTATCAAATTAGCTGTGCTTAGCAACTTGGATATTGGACATCTATGGTTTACTTGGATTGCCTAACCCTTTGAGAAATGAGCTGGAACTGCTTGTGCTATTATTTTTTTTCTAGCAGCTGCTTTTGTTTTTAAAAAAACCATGCGCATAAAGTCGTCTAAACATTTTAACATTGTGTTTTTCAGTGCTACCGAAATCAAGGTGATTCTGCATCTCCACATGGACGCAACTTCAGGAAAGGTGGTATATTTAAACAAAGCTGGCTCGTTAGTAGATAACAAAGTTACAAGACAAGGAAACCATGGATGTGCGTGCCTCTGTTTCAGTGCTATGCGTCATGAAAGGAGAGCATATATAATTTGGTGGTGAAGCCTCCCCTTTGCATTTGAAGGAGCATTCAGCAGCGATACGGTCTGAAACCATCTGAAATGAAGCATTATCGTTGATCATGGCGATTGGAGGGAGGCAGAGAGAGCAGTGGTCCTGGAAGGTGATACCGTAGCTTCCGGTGGTCGACCAGAAACCATGATGTTTTTTTGTCCATAGGATTGTTGTTTTGTTTTGATAGGATAAGATGGGCTACATAATTTTAGGTATCGCTAGGATTTAATTTACACTGTAGACAAAACATAAGGCCTTTTGTGTCTAATAGAAGAAAGAAAGATGGAGAGCATTTGCCCCTGTTGGAACAATTAATGTGCTGCAGGCAATAACAATCCAGTTGGTTGGCCATTACGATTCCTGACTCCTGTGCTGAGTGATGAGAATTCAGTGCCTCCTCCCTCACTAGAAGGGCTGTTAATCCGTGAAGCATGCGTGAATACTGGTGTTGCAATTGGCCGTCTGCAACTATCTGTCCACGCAAGTAAGCATCCATCGATGGAAAGGCCGGCGAAATACTAGTAAATGCATATCCATGTCAGTCAGATTCAGATCACATGAGGTTAGGTCCGCAATGCAAATGCTACTACTGGGTGAAATATCTGAGCAATTAGTAAGTGAATGTCGCTACTGCATTGGCGTTGCATGGCCTGGCCTGCCTCCATGTATCTTTGTCGCGCACTTGCCTGCGCTTTTTCCCAATATTTTAATCCAAAATTATCTATCTTAATTAGCTTCTTTATCTCTGTCTCAGTAGTGCAGGTGCTCCCAACTTAATAACCTTTTAACACCTGAAAAAGAAGATCTCTTTTCAGTCGAGAGAGAGAGCAGGGCCCAGGCGAGGCTATATATACACGGCATTGCATGCACCATATGCATCTCAATATCTCTTGCGACCTCACTCCAATTGCACAAACATACATACATACATACATACTCGATCAGTCGGCAATTGATTAAGCAGCTAGCTCAAGCTGGTAAAATTAAACGACCAATATATATGATGATGATGATGACCATGGATGTGAAGCTCCTGCTGCTGCTGCTGCTGTCCGTCCTCCTCCTGTCTGCTGCCTCCATGGCCAAGGACGACGATGAGCAGCAGCAGAAGGTGCAATGCCATGAGGACGACGAGGCGGCGCTTCTGGCCATCGACGACGCCCTCGGGAACCCCTACAATTTGGCGTCGTGGACGCGCAACACCTCCTGCTGCGACTGGTACGACGTGGACTGCGACCAGGACTCTGGCCGCGTCGTCTCCCTCTCCGTCTTCCAGGACACCAACCTCACCGGCGCCATCCCCGACGCCATCGCCAACCTCACCCACCTCCGCACCCTCCTCCTCCACCACCTCCCCAGCCTCTCCGGCCCCATCCCCGACTCCCTCGCCGCCCTCACCGACCTCACCCACCTCACCATCTCCTGGACCGCCGTCTCCGGCCCCGTCCCCTCCTTCCTCGCCAACCTCACCTCCCTCACCATGCTCGATCTCTCCTTCAACTCCCTCACCGGCCTCATCCCGCCCTCCCTCGCCGCCCTCACCAATCTCTCCGCCATCAACCTCAGCCGCAACCGCCTCTCCGGCCCCATCCCGCCGGGCCTCTTCTCCAACCTGCAGCTGCAGGACGACGACGACGAGGTGTACCTCCGGCTGTCGCACAACAACCTGTCCGGGAGCGTCCCGGCGGACCTGCTGGCGGCGGCGAACCTGGCGCTGGTGGACCTGTCGCGGAACGCGCTGACCGGCGACGCGTCGGCGGTGTTCCGGCGGGCAAGGTACGTGGACCTGTCGCGAAACGGCTTCGTCTTCAACATGTCCGGCGTGGAGTTCGCGGAGGAGACGTACTACGTGGACGTGAGCCACAACGCCATCCGCGGGGGGATCCCGGCGCAGGTGGCCAACCTCACCAACCTGCAGACGTTCAACGTCAGCTACAACAAGATGTGCGGCGCGGTGCCCGCCATGCCCAGGTTCGACGCCTACTGCTACCAACACAACAAATGCCTCTGCGGCGCTCCCCTCGCCACCGCCTGCCGTCGTCGATAAATAATACTACAAAAACATTTATATAAAAACTTTCAACTAAACTACATCTAATCGCTACTTAAAATTAATTATCTGAACTCCTTGTTAAATCCTACTAGTAATTAAGAGTATTGTACTGTGCTAGCTACGACTGGAAAACTGGTAATGTACGGAGAACGAGTGTAAGTGAAGAGAACAATGTTCATGTCGTCTTGCAATATGATCAATCAATCAGCCAACTTTTATATTATAGTTCCAGATGTACTTGAAAGATGAACATTGGAGTGGATATTGCTACTATAAATGTGTTTCATTCAACTTAATTTACAACACACAATAAAACTGATTGTACCAGCAAATACGAAGTTTTCTAACGGGAGTATCTTAAAAAACTGTCGCAAGTTTTTTTTTTTCAAAAACTTTCAGATGTATCTGTAGTATAATTGAAGTGTAATTACATTGTACTAACTACAATGTAATTACGATATAACTTATTAATAAAACTTGAATTCAACAATGGTTTGGTTACATAGTACTGAGATCTTATCTGAAAGTTTTCTAGCAAATCTATTTCTAATTATATGAGCTAGGATTGGGCCATAACCTGGGCCAGCCCATTACGGGTTGGGCCTTGATAGTCGTCAATCCATGGTAGAAAAAAGCAGCCCACAAGGCCATGGGATGCCAGGCTTCGGACAATGGCCTAGGGTACCCGATGCCCGGAAAAGCTAATCCCCGCGCGCGCGTTGCCGGCGCATACTCCGGCCCACACGGCCCATGCACGCACGCGCGCACGCCTCTCTCTCTTTTTTCTTTTTCTTTTGGCGCACCGCCGTCTCTTCTTTTTTCCTTTTTTTTTTCTTTTTTCTGCCACACGGGAGAAAAAATCGTAATTAGTTTACTACTCCCTCCGTCCTAGAATATAAGAGATTTTAAGTTTTTTCTTGCAACGTTTGACCACTCGTCTTATTCAATTTTTTTAAAAATTATTATTTATTTTATTTGTGACTTACTTTATTATCCACAGTATTTTAAGCACAACTTTTCATTTTTTATATTTGCAAAAAAAATTTGAATAATACGAGTGGTCAAATGTTGCAAGCAAAAACTCAAAACCCCTTATATTGTGGGACGGAGGGAGTAATGATTAGTCTCCTATTTTTACTACTGATTAGTTTACTAGTAATTTTTAAATCTTAACTTAAAAATTTTCAAATTTGGACTTGAAAGTTTTCAAATCTCGAGCTAAAAATTTTCAAATCTGGACTTGAAAGTTTTTAAATCTGAGCTCAAAGTTTTCAAATCTCGAGTTGAAAGTTTTCAAAATTTTCAAATCTGGACTTGAAAGTTTTTAAATCTGAGCTCAAAGTTTTCAAATCTCGAGTTGAAAGTTTTCAAAATTTTCAAATCTGGACTTGAAAATTTTCGAATCTCGAGTTGAAAGTTTTTCAAATGTGAGATGAAAAGTTAAAAGTTTTTAAAATTTGACTTAAAAAAAAATTCAAATTTCGAGTTAAAATTTTCAAATCTGGATTTAAAATTTTGAAAATTTGACTTCAGAAATAGATTTCTTTTCAATTTGTTAGTTAAAAAATCTTGTGAAAAAAAGAAAATCCTAACTACTACTGTCATTATCTTAAGCTATAATTATCTAAAACTAATTAATTGATTAGTTAACTATACCTCCTATCTTTAGTCCCGAAACGCGCGTGGGGGGCGCGCACGCCCCAACTAGGCCCCCCCCAATGCCTGAATCGCACTAAACATGCGTGTGCTTATGTAAAGTTAACAAACTAAGGGGAAAAAAAATCAAAGTGTCTTGTAATATGAAACGGGATAGTATAAATTTTAGATAATGGGAAAATGATCATTCTGTCATTTGTACCATACGCATCATCTCCACCATAGATACTCCCTTTGTCTAGAAATATGAGCATTTATAGAAGTCTTATACTCTGACTATCTTAAAAGATTATATTTTTTGAAGCTAGCTAATATCTGACAGATTAGTTCAGATGTCAAAGGATGATCATGCCTTTCATTAAGACTGTTTTCTATGCTTCGACGCTCGGCTAAACTTTTGGCATAGCCAAGCTCTAATACGGGACATTTGCAACTGACAATTGGAGGCATGGTCTCTACTTAAGCATAGAAGAGAAACGAAGATGATAAAGCTTAATTTTGTGGATGGAGCGAGTAGATGCACAAGATAAGAATAGAAAACTGGATATTTGTGGGACAAGAAGATCAATAAGCAAGCAGAAGAATATTATTTGTCCTAGATCAATAAGGTGCTCTGTCCCTGCACAGGCGTGGTAGGCCTGGGTTGACTCTCCATTTGGACAAGTTTGGCAATTTGGCACTGCCAACTTTGACCATTTCATTCTCCCTGGCTTTCCCGTGCTTGCTACAGTATTTGTATTTTATCTCCTACTCCTACTTTGGCTTGGCTGGCTCCCTGGCGGCTTCAAGAAACTGCGTCTGCGGCGCCTCACACTCACATGCATGTGCATTAAATGAGCAGAGCTGTACCCTTCTCATCCGCATGCACGCTTGCATGGGTACGGTGGTCAATGTTTTTTGTTGACTCGCTATTGCATGCGTTGGATTTTTTTTTCAACTTGATTCTTCTTCCTTGCGATTAATTTTCCAAATAATTTCATACAACAAGTCAACAACAACAGTTGATTAATACCAACCATCAAATTAATCTCCCTCTCCCCCTTTCTCTCTATATAACACATCTCATCATCTAGCTCACTCACTGAAATGCCCAACTAAATTGGAGTGGAGGCTACTACCTAATTAATACGATATCCTACAAGAACAAGATGCGCGCCATGGTCGTCGTTCTTGTGCTCGCCGCGGCCGGCGCCGCCGCTGCCACCACGAAGAAGAAGGAGTGCAACGCCGGCGACAAGGCCGCACTGCTGGCCATCAAGAAGGCCCTCGGCGACCCCTACCACTTCGCCTCCTGGACGCCCGACAACCTCTGCTGCGAATGGTACGACGTCACCTGCGACGACACCACCGACCGCGTCGTCGGCCTCTCCGTCTTCCAGGACGCCAACCTCACCGGCACCATCCCCGACGCCGTCGCCGGCCTCACCCACCTCCGCACCCTCACGTGGCACCACCTCCCCCAGATCTCCGGCCCCATCCCGCCGGCGATCGCCAAGCTCAACCGCCTCTCCCTCCTCATCATCTCCTGGACCGCCGTCTCCGGCCCCGTCCCCTCCTTCCTCGGCGGGCTCAAGAGCCTCACCCTCCTCGATCTCTCCTTCAACTCCCTCACCGGCGCCATCCCGCCGTCGCTCGCCGCCCTCCCCTTCCTCAGCGGCATCGACATCAGCCGCAACCGCCTCACCGGCCCCCTGCCGCCGGCGCTCTTCAGCAAGCTCAACACCACGCAGCAGGGCGGCGCCTACCTGAGGCTGTCGCGGAACAACCTCACCGGCGGCATCCCGGCCGAGTACGGCGGCGTGGCGTTCGAGGTGATGGACCTGTCGCGCAACGCGCTGAGCTTCGACATGACCGGGCTGCGGCTGCAGGAAGGGGTGAGCTCGCTGGACCTCAGCCACAACATGCTGTACGGCGGCGTGCCGGCGCAGGTGGCCGGGCTGAGCAGCCTGCAGGACTTCAACGTCAGCTACAACCGCCTCTGCGGCGAGCTGCCCGCCGGCGCCGCGAGGTTCGATCAGTACTCCTTCTTCCACAACAAGTGCCTCTGCGGACCGCCGCTCCCTACTCCCTGCAATTAAGCTCCCATTACTTAATTACTAGCTATGTGGTGAAATTATACATCAGCAATGCAAGCAAAATAAATAAATAAATATATATATATATATATATATATATATATATATATATATATATATATATATATATATATTTGTATAATGATTTTAATAAGTCAAAAACAGATTGATGCATTTGGAAGGAATGATTAATAAAGCTGTGTTCAATTGTTTCTGGGACAATTAATCTTCAATCTTTTTTTTCGCCGGGACGGCGAAGAATGCTGACCGATGTATATTAAGGAAAAGGGGAAAAACTGTACAAATGCAGTACGTCAGAGCACCGCCTTTACAACAAAAAGCAAATTACAAAATCTGTAATCTTTCTAAAGCTGGCACTGCAGCAACATTCAACGAGGTAACTAGCCCTGCTGATTTCCAAGTTTCCCATTCATCACACATGGTCGCACACAACTGCGTGACCGACGAGGCCGTTCCCTCGAAAACCCGTGCGTTGCGCTCTTTCCAAATCAACCATGTAACGAGGATGACCCCGGCGTCAAACGTCTTGCGATCGATCTTCGCAACAGTTTGCCGGGCAGCGAGCCACCAGCCGGCAAAGTCCGAGGACGGCGGCGAGCAGTAGAGGGTCAAACGAGCCTGAACCTGCACCCAAACTTGCTGCGAGAAGGTGCAGGCTTGGAAGATGTGTTGGCAGGACTCTCCATCCTTAGAACAAAGGTGACAAATTGGTGCAAGCTTCCAGCCTCGGCGCTGCAGGTTATCAGCTGTTAAATAGGCATTGCGGACCGCAAGGAACATGAAGAACTTGCATCTTGCTGGTGCGTGGGATTTCCAGATAATCTTGCCGAGCGGGCAGGATGTTCTACCGGCCGAAAGAATAGAGTAGGCAGACCGCACCGAGAAGTCACCATTAGGTGCCGCCTTCCATATCATAGAGTCCGTACTTCTGGAGTCGAGAGAAATCCCGGCTGTCGGTGACATGGGACCGGGGGTATCTTGACTAGAGGTTTGGGGCAGCTGCAGTCACCCACGTGGCCTGACCCCCTCGGGGGGGTCGGGCCCGAGGGTGATGTGGCCGCCCCTCCCTTTGTCTCCCCGAGGGGTCAGGCCGCTCCCGTTTCGGCCCCGAGGGCTGGGGCGCCCCGACCCCCTGTGGGTTTGGCGCCACGTGTGTGGGTTAGGTGAGCACAGCGGCGCTCACCTAACCGCGTTTATTGTGGGTTGGACGAGCGCCCCACGCCGCATTTAATGCAGCGCAGCACACTCGTTCGGTCCGTGACAGGTCACAGTGTGTGACCGGTCATAGACCGGTCAGATCGCGGGTTAGGTGGCAACAGGCGGCCTTTCGCACGCCTCGCCCCGTCCCGTCGGAATGATGAGAGCCTCTATGCACTCGTCCCTAGCCGGAGCCGGCGTGCTGACTCCTGGAGTTAGCACGTCAGTCCCGGCTAGATTCATACCAGGCTTCATCGCAACCATTACAAGGAAGTCATTTTATGAAGAAGGGCTGACGTGTGGCATGCTAAACTGACGCGTGGTAGACAAGAATGACCGGTTTGTGACTGGTCTGACGCCGGTCACGTCATCGGCAGACAACCGTGCTCCCACGTTGCGCCTGCTTCCGGCGGAGTGGAGGTAGGTATGGCCCATCCCATCAGAGGGTCATTCGGACAACAGCCATGGCAAATCTCCGCCCATTAATGAGGGAGTAACAGGGAGATCCCCGGTGTCAGGCGAGTGATGACGCTGGGCCTCACTCAAAGACAAGCTGTGATTTAGCTTCCAGGCGAAGGCGCAAGCTAGTTTTTTCTTTTTTGGGAAGATAGGGTGAGTCCCCACCCAAAAGAAGAGTAGGTAGAAGTGGTGCAGGTGGGATCCCCTTGAGATATAAAAGGAGGACCTTGCCCACTTAAGAACGGGGGAGCTGGGGAAAGAGGGGGGAGAAGACCTGAGCTCGTAGAGGAGAGAAAGAGGAAGAGGGTTTCTAGAGTTTGAACTCTCTTGCTCTCCAGCTCTTTGTAACTCCTTCATACACAGATCCACCAGAACACAGGAGTAGGGTATTACGCTTCTCAGCGGCCCGAACCTGTCTACATCGCCCGTGTCTTGCGCATTTGCTCTCTCACGAAACATTCCATAGATCGAGTGCTTAGAACCTCACCTAGCGCCCCCGGCCGAACCGGCAAAGGGGGGCCCGCGCGGTCTCCCGGTGAGGAGCCCCACGCTCCGTCATCTGGCGCGCCAGGTAGGGGGCGCGTGTGTTTTTCTAAGCCCTCGTCCTCTTTCGTGTGCGCCAAGCTTCTCCCGCTCAGCCCAATGGCCGAACGGGCAGTGGCGCACAACCTCTCTCCGAGCGCTAGCGGTGACGACGGGGAGCAGAACCCGCGCCGTCGAGCTCGTACTCCACCGCCCCCCTCTCGCCGAAGTCTTAGGCGGGAGGAGGCGCTCGAGGGGGTCGAAAGATCCGCGACTTCGCCGCCCACGAGCGATGAAGAAGGACGGCGAGACGGGGAGCGTCGCCTCCTCGTCTACGGCGATGGCAGCACGCCCCAGGGCACGCTCCAAGCTGCGGGCGCGCTCTTGCGTCACCCGCCCGTCGTCCCCGATCCAGAGACTCCAGCCCGACGTTGGCTGGATGACGTGGCCGACTTGGTCATGACGGCGCAGCAGCGCCTAGGCGCCGGTGGGCGGTCCTCCGCCGCCAAGGCCTCTGGCGCTGCTACCGCCGGCTCCGTGTCGTCGAGGGGCGCCATTCCCTCGTCAACGCCTCCGACCCAAGAAGATGTGCGTAGGGGGCCGGATGCCCGCCTCAGTATCGAGCGCCGGCGCAATGGTCGTCGTGCTGCCCACGCAACGGAAGGCGCTTCCTCGTCCGGAGCGCCACTTCGGTTCGGGCGCGGGGGCCAGCCCCCCGTGCCCCCGCTTGGTGGTGTCGGCTGTCGAGCCTTTGTGGCGAGCATTCGGAACGTCCGTTGGCCCCCAAGGTTCCGGCCCACCATCACCGAAAAATATGACGGAAGCGTCAACCCCGCCGAGTTTCTCCAGGTCTACACGACCGGGATCGAGGCCACCGGGGGTGACGACAGGGTCGTGGCGAATTTCTTCCCCATGGCCCTGAAGGGACAGGCGCGGGGTTGGCTAATGAACTTGCCGCCCGCGTCGGTCCACTCTTGGGAGGATTTGTGCCAGCAGTTCACCATGAACTTCCAAGGCACATATGCGCGCCCAGGTGAAGAAGCGGACTTGCATGCGGTACAGCGAAGGGACGATGAGTCTCTTCGCTCGTACATTCAGCGGTTCTGTCAAGTCCGCAACACCATACCATGCATCCCCGCACACGCGGTAATCTACGCGTTCAGGGGGGGCGTGCGGCACAACCGCATGCTCGAAAAGATCGCCTCCAAGGAGCCCCAGACCACCGCAGAGCTTTTTCAGCTCGCGGACCGTGTGGCTCGCAAGGAGGAGGCCTGGACCTGGAACTCCACCGGTTCCGGTGTGGCAGCTTCGGCCGCCCCCGGATCCGCCGCTCGGTTAGGGCGGCGGGACAGGAGGAGGAAAAAGAGGTCGGCCCATTCCGACGACGAGGGTCACGTCCTCGCCGTCGAGGGCGCTTCGCGGGCCACCCGAAAGGGGAGGCCTGCGAGCGACAAAAAGAAGGAGGCCGGCGCTCCCAGCAGGGAGCGCCCGACCGGCAAGTGGTGCGCCGTGCACAACACCTCCCTCCACGACCTCGCGGACTGCCGCGCGGTCAAAAGTTTGGCTAAGCGGACGAGGAAGTGGGAGGAGGAGAGGAGGCAGGAACGCCGTGAGGGCAAGGCCCCGGCGGCTCCCTCCGGCAACCGGCGAAGTGAGGCCAAGCAGAAGGCCCCCGCCGAGGACATCGACGATGGCGACGATGATCTAGGGTTCCAGGAGCCTGGGGGCCACCATCGCCACCGTCGATGGGGGAGCGTGCGCTCACGCTTCTCGTCGGAGCCTCAAGGCCATGAAGCGAGAGCTTCTGGCCGCGGCCCCTACCCATGAGGCGACGCGGCAGACGCGGTGGTCGGAGGTTGCCCTCACCTTCGACCAGACCGACCACCCGCCGTGCGTTGCCCGGGGAGGACAGATCGCGATGGTGGTTTCCCCCACCGTTTGCAACGTGAAGTTGGGGCGTGTCCTCATAGACGGGGGTGCAGCTCTCAACATCCTTTCCCCCGCAGCCTTTGACGCCATCAAGGCCCCGGGGATGGTGCTTCGGCCGTCCCAGCCGATTATCGGTGTGACGCCGGGGCACACTTGGCCGCTAGGTCATATCGACCTCCCGGTCACCTTCGGTGGATCCGCCAACTTCCGCACGGAGCGGGTGAACTTCGATGTGGCGGACCTCAGTCTGCCCTACAACGCGGTCCTGGGGAGGCCCGCGTTGGTGAAGTTCATGGCGGCGGTCCACTACGCCTACCTCCAGATGAAGATGCCGGGCCCCGGTGGCCCCATCTCTGTCCATGGCAACCTCAAAGTCGCGCTTGCTTGTATGGAGCAGCGCGCGGACCACCTCGCCGCCGCGTCCAAGCCCGAGGGTGGCAACGAGAGGCTCAGCACCTCCGTCCCAGCCGCCCCGAGGCAGCGGATGATCACGTGCGACGAGGTCCCGGTCAAGGAGGTTGCCCTGGGCGACGGCCCGTCCAAGACCACACGAATCAGTGGTCTTCTGGACGGCAAATAGGAAGACGCGCTTGTCTCCTTCCTGCGGGCAAACGCCGACGTCTTCGCCTGGAGACCGGCGGACATGCCCGGGGTCCCCAGGGAGGTGATTGAGCACCGTCTCGCCGTGCGGCCGAGCGCAAGGCCGGTCCGGCAGAAAGTGCGGCGGCAGGCCCCGGAACGTCAAGACTTCATCCGCGAGGAGGTGGCGCGACTTCTGGAGGCCGGATTCATCCGAGAGGTTATCCATCCCGAGTGGCTGGCGAACCCGGTCGTCGTTCCCAAAGCGAACGGCAAGCTTCGGATGTGCATCGACTACACCGACCTTAACAAGGCATGTCCTAAGGACCCTTACCCCCTGCCACGCATAGATCAGATTGTCGACTCCACCGCGGGG